ATCACATTGTAGCTCATTGTGTTACTACGTCTATTAAAAAAACCTTTTGTTGTATATGATGGTAGCTCTTTGGTTATCTTTCAAGAAATGCCCATTTCCTTTAGTTTCCTTTTGTCTTTAAAATCGCTATTACCGATTAATCGCAGCTACAGTGGCAACCATCACAACCACTACCCCGAGAAATCCAAGACAAGTTTGCGGGCGTCTTTGGAAACAGAATACCGTTATTAAAATTCGCTTTTGCTATAGGTTAGACTTGGCGCCCAGTCTCTCTCGGCCTCCCTTTTCCTCTGCCAGTCTTTTTTATTGCGGCTTGTCGTAGGTGATCACCTTGTACTTATATAGGAGCTCTTGTCTACAACTTTCGCCAAATGTTCCGCTTTTAAAAGAGACTGAGAAGGACCTTACTTAGTTTGTGATAATTTGACATCTAACATCGAAAAATTTCAAGCGTCGCTATACTGTGATATGAAGACACACTTACCTGATTGCTACATTATGTTTCCCACGTAAAATTTAAAATTTACTTTCGTCCGGACCAATGTACTATATGCGCTTCTTGCATGTGGGTCTTGTGTGAAGTAAATGGCCGTAATTGTTGCCGTATTTACACCTGTCTAGGTGTTCATTGTCGGAAATACTACATAGAGTTTTAGTGCAGTATTGACGTATTAGTCAATATAGTCGGTATTGCCGGGCGGTGTCTTATCAGATACGTGCCTTACCAGATTGGATTGAAAGTAAAGAGCTGCTCGATTGCATTAGGTACTTCCCGCTTGATGATGACCGAACAGGCAGTGGCTGATCCGGACGCTCTTAACCAATCCAAAACTTGATTATTTGTTTTGTTCTGTTGCCAGCTGTAACTAACTTTCGTGCTGTGGCAGCCTATGATACATCTTATTTTATTTTGTATTTGTTGTAGGACTAGATCAGAAGCGAATGTATAGGAGCGGAGCGATTTTAAATGATGAAAAGCCAGCCGTTGACAGTTTGTCGTAGTGAGCTGTAGTGCTGGTTTTGAAGCAGTCAAAAAGCAAATATAAAGGCAAATAATCAAGGTTGGAAAGTTATTGAAATTTAAATAATTGATAGAAAGCTGCCTTGCAGTTGCTTTGCTGGGGGCTAGTATTTACTGCGCATGCAAAAGATATTAATTTCACCCTATTGCTAAAAACCATTTTCAATAATAGCCATGCCACTAGCCAACAGCAACGCATTCAACACCATTCAACGCACTTTTGAATGACAAAGGTGCATTTCGCAAATTATAAACGTCGGATGTGTGTTTTAGACAGCAAAGTACTGACATCAGTTATCTTGTTAGTAGTCAATATATTTTAGAAAAAACAATACGTTTCTTCTCTTGACGTACCATAATATACTTCCGATTATTGAAAACATACGTGCTTTTGTTCGACTTTTGTCTGAGACTGAGACAATTTGGCAGAGGTTTTATTTAGAATTATTATTGTTTCCTTACTACTTAACAGACAAGAAAACAAAACATTAGCATCCGATCTGGAAATTCTCTACCAATCTAGTAGATTTCTGACGATTTTGCTTGCAGGCGACGACAACTGTACATGTTAGACCTAAGTGCTAATTTAAATATAGGTGGCTACTTTATGAAATATTTAGTTACAACATCTGCAGATAAAATAATGAAATGCCTTGCAATGTGAAAGAGTTGGAGCATTGCCTCGAAACTATACCCAAAAATGGCATTTCAGAGATCGCATTTTATCAAATCATTATGTTCTTTTTTGTGTGTTGCGGAAAGTCAATGGCTTGAGAGACATTTTGGGATGGATTACATGTACGATATTAAAGGACAAAGCCCCGAGAATTGATTCGGAGATACTACGTTTGATTTAGATACGTTTGATCGTTTCGGAGATACTACGTTTGATTTAGATACGTTTGATCGTATGCCAAACCCAACTTCATCAGCTTGAAAACAACGTTACCATTAATTTAAAAGAGCAATAATAAGGTCTAATAAGTTGTAAAACCATACTAGTTATTAAAGTGGAATGGTTGTGAAACCCGTTCTACTCCTTTGTAAGGTTTTGTTTGCTTTTTTGGACATGACCGCGCACAACGTTCAATAGCATTCCTAATCATTCACAGTCGTGTAATAGTTTCTTATCCCGTGCAATGACGTATTGGGCGCTTTTTACACTCGAAAACCTATTGCTTTTTCTCATAAAAATTAATGATTCTCGTGAAAGACAAATTAAATACATAGTAAAAAACTCACAGCTTTCTCTAAAACCAGCGTTTTTAGTTTAGATAAGAAGACTTTTAGTTGAGGGTAAAAAAAATTAAATTTAAAAACAAAATAATTTTTAGAAATAGAAGAAATGGATGAGATAGCTAAATTGTTAAACTTTAAAGATGAATTTCAAGTATATAAATATTCACGTAATTATATTGATGTTTGTCGTGAATATTTGAATGATAGAAAAAATTATAAGATAAACTTAAAAAAAAAACTAAATATAGAATAATCTAAGATTTTGGATCTGCATGGTGGCACAGTTCCTTTAATAACGGGATTTTGTGTCTCTCTACCAATCAAAAAGTCCTGTCCAATCCTGCTCCTATTAATATCGGGCCTACTGAACTGGAGAGGGTTTCAGACGTTAAACTACTGGGTGTATATGTACAGAACGATCTCAAGTGGAATACACATGTCTCAAGTATTGTCAGCAAAGCGTGTAAACGGATCCACTATCTTAGGGTCTGTAGAACAGCCCATCTCCACAGGGACATTGGTCTTACAACTTACATCACTAAGATTAGACCTGTTTCAGAATATGCCTCACCTGTCTGGGAAGGGCTGCCCATTTACCTTGAAGAAGATCTACAGAGAGTGCAGACTAGATGTCTAAATGTCATTGGTCTCCCTTGGGATACTGTTGAGTCACTTGTAACTAGGCGTCAGAATTTGACGAGGAAAGAATTTAAACGTACCCTAGAATCAAAGGCACATCCCTGCAAACGTTTTTTGGACAAGCCAGTGGATCATGGCCATAATCTAAGATCTTGTAAGACTAACCCAGCGCACCTCAGAATACCTGTATCACGCACTGTTAGGCACAAACAATCGTTTATTCCTAGAGGTGCTAAACGTAACTTAATTTGATATGTATATAATATTATAATATGTAGTGTTTTGAATTTTTATTGTAATATTGCCGTAATTCTTATCGCCAAAGGCAATAAATAAAGGTATTATTATTATTATGTGTTGAGGCTTAGCCCACGTTATAGACAACGGGATACGACAAAACAAGCAAAATGGTCAATGCAAATTAATTCTGTTTGAATGATTACACAGATCAAAGGTTACAGACCTGTTACGCAGCAGACTACTCCAATTCTTTTCATTACCAACACGCTTTTTTTTCCTGAAATGTATGACCCATTTAATTAACTAAACCGAAACATTAGCAGCATCAGACGGTTCACTGATGGTAACGTCAGTAAATGGAAAATGAAACAAACATTTTCAAAGACAAGTTGAAAGAACTCTAAATTATTCATCCCGGAAGTCCCTCAGTGTTCCTGAGAAATCCCTTAAAAAAATTATGTTTAAAGTTGTGACGTAATCGATTTGCTTCCATTGGGAAAAACCCTACTGATGATACGCCAGGGTAAGTATTCTTAGAAATTTGGATACAGAATTTTTTCATCTTTCCAAGCAAGAGCTCCAGCGATGCATGCAAATGAAATGAATAATGCTTTATTAACCATGACACTTGCAAACAAAGCAACTTGTTTGCCGTATTTTGAGACAGATCACTAACCCATCAGATATTTTGTTAAAAAGTATTATATTGGTGTTTCTAAGTCACCACCAATAATAGGCTAGTTAAAAGAGTTTTTCCGGGAAACAGGCCGGCAGGCTTCTGATCTAAAAATATACCAAGGCAAAAGGGAAATAACCAATTTAAAATCTTTTCTATCGCTTTCATTGCCTTATATATTAAGCTGGGTATGATTATTGCTCAGTATCTCCACTCCAGTGAAGGAATTAGAAGCGACAGAAACTGGCACTCTCAAATAAAATCAGCCGAGGCAGATGGCATCATCAAGCACACTCGACACTCGCCGATCATCACAAGACGAACCAAAAGGAAGTGAATGTGAAAAACGAGAGACTAGGATCACAAAAGAGAACCTTTATATGGTTTTAGCTCTTTGGATGGAGAAGTTTCCTTCACAATCTCCAAAAAGCTCTTTCAAGAAAGTCGGTGTCATTTTTGTCCTTCCGAACGATCGCGTACTTGCAGCCGATTGCAGTCGGGACGGCGTTCTTTGCGTTGCAAGAGTGATGATCAATCATTCTGGCAAGCTGGAAGGTTGCAAAGTCTTCGTTTCTCGGAAACCGTGTTCCGTATGTGCCAAACTCCTCGTACAGTCGAGAGTTTCCCGTGTGTTCTACCTTCCAATCGAACCAGAATCAGAAAGCCAGAAGGAATTGGAAAGAGTAGATAATCTCTTCAAAGTAAGTCCAGTGGGCCAATCTGTCTTTGTCCCTTGTGTGGAGGAAAAGGTCTTGACCAACGACGAGAAGAAGCTTCCAGAAGAGATCACACCGGAGGACATAAGCGTTTGTCGCGATGAACTCTTCAAAGAATGGTGGGGCACCGAGTGGATTACACGTGCCCAAAGTTGCCTTCCTTGGCCAAGCCTGGATGAAAAAATGGAAACTCAAGTTGAGCAGGATTTTAAATCTCTCATGAAATGGATCGCTGTTGTTAAAGCACCGATAGACAAAGGAATTGTATTCCAAAAGGTGAAAATCATTGGTGATGATGGCGGAGAGCCAAGCGTGAAACGTGCTAATGATGATGACGAGTACCCTGACCAGGATTTAGCTTCCCATATGATGATTTTTGCAAAGATGCTTGCACGGCAGACTGATGACCCTAAAAAAGGCGTCGGTGCAGTACTAATTAAAGGGAAAGAGTTTGTCAGCCTTGGGTGGAATGGATTTCCATCGAAAGCTTTGTATGGCGAATTTCCACGCGCTTCAGATGACGATAAAGCCAGAGACAAAGTTTCCTTACGTCATTCACGCTGAACAAAACGCTCTGCTGGTGAGGAACACCAAAGATTTAACGGATGGAGTTCTGTTTGTAACGAAAAGCCCTTGTGATGAATGTGCTCCAATGGTCAAACTGAGTGGTGTGAAGACCATCGTTGTCGGGGAAGCAATAGACAGTAGTCATGGAGGAGAACTGTCTTACAACGTAATTAAAAATTATATAAAAGACAATGATTTCGCCTGTTTTGAAATGAGGGCCAGAAAGAAGGCACTAGCGAAGCGTTCAGCTTCTGATCCAGAAGTAAGGAAGAATTTAAGCCAAGCAAAGTACATGAAGTCTAAGTGAAACAGAGACGACTGACTAGGACAGAAACTTGTCTGATCCTGACCCGGAAAAAGGCTTGTCAGTTGCCTTTTAAAGATGTGACAGTTGTTGTTTTAATTCGTAAAATTCAAACTACAAAACTATCGATCCTACTGAGATTCCGTACTGTCATGATGTAATATAGGAGCTGAAAAATAATTTTCAGACATATTTTCCCTTCAAAAGGGTTCTTGGTTTTGTGATAGAGTCCTCTTGAATTTCTAAGCTTTTGCGTGACGCGGCAAAAAGACCAAAAAGATCCAAACAGAGAGAGAGAGGCTGTCAGTGCCAGGATAGGTGTAAAAAAGTGAATTATTTTGAGGAATTTTGCAGTATTGGAAAAACTATTACTTTAATGTTTATTAGTTCCTCGCTTTTTTGCAGCAAAACTCGGTAACAGATATTTCTGTTGGTTTTCGTCCGCCATGTTGGTGCTTATCCGGATGGGCACCAGCATAGCATCTCCATACAAAACTTTATAAATTTGGGCACAGGTGTCCCAAGCTCACGTTACGAGTGTGGAATGCAAATTTACTTTCTCGCAAGAGAGTCGGTGTCGCGTCACATGCGACCGTTGAGACATTGTATGGGAAATAAAATACTGAGGTTTTGTGAACGCTAAATATCATTATATATTACATTTTCTTCTATGAACTAAAAAAGGGAGACTTACCTTTAATGCATTCCTATGTTTTTGGTGTGAATTCATCGATTTAGTCGTTTTTTGGCTGTTATTGTGTGATCACTGTCACTCCCTTCACTTCGTTTTATGAGGGAGTGACAACTTCTATCGGTCAGTAGAGAAAATTCCCGCTAATTAGCTGTAATTTCTTATTCTTCTGCCATAAATGCAAAAAATAAATTTAATGTACTACATGTTGCTCCTAAAATAGGACATCCCGCCTACTCATTTTCATCTGGGGCTGTCCCCTCCCCCGGCAGCGCGACCGAGAAAATGGATTCAAGTCCAGCCGATCCAGAGGATCCGCCTCCCCCTCGCCTCCCTCCCCCTTGTAAAAGAAAATGGTCCCTTGATTACGAGCGGGAGAACGAGGACGAGTTAGATCCCAGGATGCTTAGCGAAGCACTGTTGTGCGGCCATTTGGTGGAAAGCACATGGTATGGCGGTTTTGTTTCGTTATGATCAGAAATCTTCCCAGCCTAGCTTCCAAACCTTAAAACTTTCCACCAGAAGCAAAGGAAAAAAGGATAGGAACCTTTAAGTTCGAAAATAGCCACGAATTAGGCGCTTTCAACTTCGTGCTCTTGCCATCAGCTCTTGGAAAGCTAAGCCTTACATCGGCCACGGAAATCCACGTAAGCCTATATTTTTGTTCAGCTGTTTTTAATGCCTGTAATTGTCCTTTTTTCTGTCCTTTTAGTGTCCTTCAAACCCACTGTGATGACTAGAATAATCCCAGCTCGCTTTGAGTTTCATAAAGGAAGCGTTGAAGAAAAAAGCATTCTCTAAATGTTTTGTCTGAGTGGGTTTTCAGTGAACACACATGACACCAATAGACATTACATACATACATTTACATTTATTTGATAAGTAGGTTTGAATAAGCAACTGTACTTTTTGGATTCCGGAGTTTCTTTTGACGTAAAATTGTCTAATACTTTCAGTTTTCTAAGTCCATTTCTGTTATATTTCTAGGAAAACTGTGTGCAAGAGACAGAGAAAAACAAATTCCATCGCCGTTAAGTACTGTTGTGACTAAGTGAAGCATCACAAATAACTATCATGTTGCTTGGAGTACCTGTGAGCCACGCTGCCTCCCTGCAGGTGAGAGAAAATGTTTTTGCTAAAAGTTCTCTGACGAGAAACAATAGATATCAATGCAAAATCGTGAAGATTATTTATTTCTGAATTCTTCAATTTGAGATACATGTACAAGGGTTGAGTTTAAGGTTGTAAGTAATAGAAATACCGTACAGGTAGAAATACTGCTACAGTGTAGGATATGACCAAAAAAAAATCATTTTATTGGTGCTAATGCTAAGGGGTTTAATGTACAATATAAGGGGTTTAGACACAAACAGAATGCTCTAATGCTTTGAGAGTCAAGCACACATAAATGAGAACTTCTTGATGGGCTATGTATTGTAAAACTGTAGGTAACTATACCTGTGAAGTGACACAACCTCCCAAATTTAGGGACTGTGGGGGAAATTGCTGTCATTTTGGGGAGGTCTTGTAATGTAACTAACAACAACAATGATCTTAAATTTTTCCTAATTCGAGTTATTGACAAAAGTGCACAGACTCACAGGTAGCTAGTGCTAATCTTGGCAGGCCAGTCAATTCACTTGTAGGGAGTAATTTTATTCAACCACTGTGATGACTAGAATAATCCCAGCTCGCTTTGAGTTTCTCAGTGGAATGCTGAAGAAAAAAGTATTCTCTACCTTGTTGGTCTGAGTGGAATGATTAACACTTTATGTGTACAGTGTGCAGTAGTTAAGTTGTCTGAGCAGAGTAGATGAGTTGAACATACAATGTGAACAGTAACTCTGTACAATACATTCATTCACCTACCATAATCTACCTCTTATAACCACCCCCCTCCAGTTATATACCTGCAAACAAACGAAAGTATCCGTTTATAAGCCCTCTCTAAATATATTGAAATAAATTTCATTTACTATGTTTTGTAATTAGCACTGCCATAGTTTGTTTCTCAGCTCTTTTTCTAGTTCTGTTATAAGCCCCATCGGATATAAACCCCTCCATTTACAAGCCCTCCCAAAACCCGTTACAAAGATGTCTAAACCCTGGGCTTATACACAGCAGTTTACAGTATGTACAATGTAAACTAGAAGTTGTTGTATCTGCTTTGGCCATCCTCTGAAAGTTTACTTTATGCATTTTACATGTATTCAGGTGAAAGCAATTACCTTACATTGAAAAGAAGGAATTGGCCACTTCGTGCAAAATCACATTTTTGTTGGTGTGTAACTGACCTTTTTTTGTTTTTCAGATTCAGTGCAAAGATTTGCTTTTCTTATACAAGGTGGCTATCATGCATTGATGCATAATAACTAAAAGAGGTAAGATATTTTTATACTTGGTGTACATTGTCTAACTACACAGTACCTTCATGTGTTAATGAAACTATAAACAATATAACTGTCTGTGCATACAGGTCATATTAATATAAGTAGCTATTGTTGTTGATGAAGAAGAAAATGACAAGCATATGACTGAATGTTGTATGCTGAAAGTGAATTTTCTGAGACAGCATTACCCTAGCAGTGTTCCCTGACCCAACAGATGAAACATAAATGTTAAGTTGAATATAACCAAATAAAATTAGCTCATGGTCTGGGTGACCCCTCAGATGGTCTATGTGGCCCCCCACTTGAAAGAATTAACTTGAACGTTTCCCTACAGTTGAACAATGTGTTTTTTTGGTATTGTAATATGGAGAGGATAGATGGCATGGTCAGGTTAATATCTTTCATATTGTCCATCATTGCACTTTTTATTGCAGCATGTATTGTTTTCATCAGCTGTATATGTAATAGCAGTGCTCTGGAAAGTGTGATGTTACACATGTGTCACAGGTGATAAATACTTTCAGATCTTTTCACATTGCACATACTTCACTGCTGTGTACAAAACTGTAGTTTTATTGAATGCTGTCAATGAAGAGTAAGTTTTTATAGACAAGCATATGTCTGAATGTTTTTGCTGAAAACCTAACATTGTACATCAGAGACAGCATGCCACTTCAAAAGTTTGACCAGGACTCTTAACAGCTACCTGTAGGTTGGACTCCAGCAATAATTTACTCTGCATGATTACTCCAGATTTTCAATATAGGAGTCTGAATAAAGTTAGAAAAATTAATTTTGTTATCTCAACCATACTACATTGTGTAAACCTTCATGTACATGCACATAATCACATGTGCTAATGTGATGTGTGAATTTTATAGACTGATCCAGAAGAATCCTTGTGCTTGGTTGTTTGTGGGCTGTTGTTTTGTGAAGGTTAGTTCTCCTGTCATTGCTTCTGCATTCAACTTCCTGTTATGTTTGAACTGTATTTTTTGTACCATTATAAAAGCAATGGCCAAATAGTGATATTTTAGGCAGGGTATTAATTGTTACTCAAAGATGTTCATAATTTTAAGGATTTTCACAGAATTTTCACCGTATTACATTAAACTACTCGCTAAAAAACTTGCAGTTGCAAAAGTGGATTTGCATTTTTGGTATATTATTACTTTTATACTCGACCTTGTGCTGTGTTTATCAAGTGATGAGATATTTCACAGACCTGTTCTGACTGTTAGTGAGGAATGTGAAATTGTCCTCTGATGATAAATATAATAGTTGTAATCATATTTTTAGCCAGTTCATTCTTCCCTAATCTCTAAGACTAAAGTAAACTCATTTCAATACATTCAAACTTTCATTTTCCCACCACTTGGCTCTCGACTTGCATCTTCATTTCCCTTTTCCTTGCCTGGAGAAAAAAAAGAACACTCCCTAGAGGTCATCCAGGAAGTAGCCAATATGGAAGGTGTTCAAAAGGGAGGGGTAAAATGACCTTTTGCATTCCTGCTCACCCCAAAATTTGTTGTCCCTTACTGTTTTGAATGCCTATGAAGCAGGCTTGTCAGTCTAGAGTAAGCCTATATTGCACATTCTTATGTTTTAGGAATGACTACTGCAGTCTTGGTGTGGTGAAAAGAAATATCTTTATTTTTAGTAGGTAAGATTGTGCGTGGACAAGAAATATTCATTATTTTACATACTGTTGTGCTGAATATGCTTAATTAGTTTCTAAATAAGAAATAGATAAATAATGATTTGGAGTTAGCACATCCACAGAATTGTTCTTTGTCTACCTGATTCCTGATCAATTGGAACAGAGGGGAAACCGGAGTACCCAGAGAAAAACCTCTCAGAGCAAACGAGAGAACCAACAACAAACTCAACCCACATATTTGAACCTGGGCCACACTGGTGGGAGGTGAGTGCTCTCACCACTGTGCCATCCCATGCTCCCCAGCAAATGGCAATGCTAAATTGAGTATTATTTAGCTCTCAGGGGATTGAAACGATCTTGAAACAATAATATTGCCTTCTTGGAAATGAAGAGTATATGTGACGCTGCACATTAAATGCAGAACACACAAGTACACGATCTTAACTGGGAAGCCATGTAGATCTCTTACCCATCCCATACCAGTATATTTAGGAACTGTGAAAGCACAGCTGAGTTTGCTTTTGATTTCCATGCAATTGTAAACTGAAGACAGTGTAATGGTACAGTTGTAATTGACTCAACAGCACTCTAAACTGTTTTCTGGTCCTCCTGTTGGTTATGTCTTACATGTATTTTTTATCTGTTGTGATGAGCAGTGAAGATATAGTAGTCTCGTTCGTATGAACGTCAGTGATTAAAGCAAATGTTACAGAGCTCTCACAAAATGAATTGAATGCTGTGTGATCGTGTGTAAAGCTGTTTACAGTTTATTCATGATCCCCACTGTATTTTTCCTTACAGGTCTGACTGTGTGAGGCCATCAGTTTCCATTGTCACTGGAGACAGCTTGTGTTTTACCATTACTGTGTATTACTGTAATAAGTACTAGTATTAGTATGCTTACCCCAGTCCATAGCCCCTCCAAGTGTTCTAGGGTTACCCACTTTTGTAAATCACAGTCGTTTCAAGTGATGAATAAAAGTTGTCCAACTTTGGTGTAGCAGTCTGTGTTGTTTACTTCGACCTTATTCACAGGGTTTTGTTCTACTTAGCCCTTTAGAGCAAGATGGAGAGAGATGGGCTTTACTTCTGTCCCCTTATCTCTTGCTTATTAATAATGTTTAAATTTTCTGGTTCAAAATCTGGGAAACGGTGCCACTTGGTCACAAATAATTTATCTACCGTTTTATCAGTTTAGGGCCGAATCGCACTAGAGCCAGACAAATCAAAAATTGTTTATTTTATGTCAAAAATCTGTCAACGCTTGACTTGTCCTAATGCGATCGCGTATTTTCGAGTTAGCCAAATATTCCGAAGGACAGCCAAACTTCAAAGGCTGCGATGTCCTGCTCCGAGGCAGGACAAATGGATCAAACAACCGAGAATACAATAGCTGGTGTTTGTTTTTTAATTAAGACGTCAAAAATGATGAGTACAACGTGATCTTTGGTTTTCGCGCGTTCTTCACTTTGCAAGATGTCGGACCAAAACAGCCCGCCAAACAGCTTTCCATTTTGCTATCCTCCGGGTTATTTCTTCCAAAACTTTTATGATTCGTATCCATATCGGAATTCCACGACCTCGATGCCCCATGCTACTACCAGTAGTTCTCCGCCAGGACAGAGGAGTAGCAGTCCTCAGTCGGGAAGTAGTGCTAGTGGAACTAGCACTCCGACATGCGAGATTGCCAGCACTTCCACTGAAGGAAACACGAAGCAGGACAAGAGACAGGGCAAGACAACGCAAGACCGATGGACAGAGAACCAGGTGAAATACCTTGTGGATCTGTGGGAGGCGAATATATCAAGGTTGGAGAGCCAACAGTCGAGGAAAGTGTGGGGTGAAATCGCCACTAAAATAAACGAGCAATTCGACCTAGCGCGCCTTCCAAGTCAGTGCGAGAGAAAAATTAAGCACTTAAAAAAGAAGTACAAAGAGGCCAAGGACTGGAATCGATCGCAGACGGGAGGAAATAATGAAACCTGCGAACATTTTGATGTCTTTGACCGCGTGCTCGGAGGCAGGGATGTTGTTACTCTGAAGCACGTGCGGGAAACTGCAAATGCAGCAGCGAAAAATAAGGAGAAATTGCCTGACTCGCCTGCTGGTGACGAGGAGGAGGGATATACCTCGGATCAGGCAGAGGAAGCCCTTCAAGCAATGGGAATCAAAGTCAAAAGCAGGAGCGAGAGGAAGAAGGGAAAAGGAAAGGGAAAAGGGCGCAAGAGAAGCCTGGAGAACGACGATTCTGAGGATTTTGCTAGATTTACCGAGAGAGTGGAGCGCCAGGGTGATAGATTGGCAAATGCTGTAGAGCAAATGCAAGAAATGCAACGAGAGCAAACTCAGGCCATGACTGGTTTCCTCGCTGCTCTGACCAAGGCTATAGAAAAAAATTAAAGGCAACAGTTTTCGTTTATCCTTATTCACTTATCTTGCTTTGTAAACAATTACTCTGAAACTGCAAAGAGACAGTAGTTCAAAGCAATGCTATATTCTAGAGTTTATAAGTTTTCGTTCCAGTTTTTTTACAAAGTCTATATGATCAAGAAAACACGAACAGAACGAAAATAGCTCAAAACAATATGTTATTGTTAAGAGATCAATGATAAATAAAATCACATGGCAATGTACTCTTTTAGTAGTTCTCTGATATCGTCGCCATCCCTCAAAACATTTACATCATTATCATTTCCTCCGTCGTCGTCGCCATCATCCCATTCCCATTCATCGCCGGCATTAATGCAGAAATTGTGTAAAACAGCACATGCTACAACTGTATCACTCACAGAACTAACCCCGCTTTCGATTTGCTTTGTCAAAATACGCCAACGACTTTTCAGAATTCCAAAGGCGCACTCCGGAAACTCTGGCCGAGGAAAGTTCCTCATTAAATGCAATTTCGTCGGGATCTTGCGTTCCTTCAGGGTAAACTTTTTGTAACCAGGGAGCCAAAAAATAAGCGCTATCGGCCACCAAATATGGACCAATCTCTCGGCCGAGAACATTCATAGTAGGACCAGTCAATAATTCTTGGTTCTCGCATCGTCTGTAAAGGCGACTGTTCCGTAACACGCGTGCATCGTGCAGGGATCCTGGAAAGCCAGCTGCTACATCTAGGAATCTTTTCTTGCCATCAGCCACGGCTTGGACGATTATATCGTAGCGCTGGAATCGACTGAAGTAGTCGACTCTGCTGTCAGTAGGGGCTTTGATCGTGACATGTGTGCAATCAATTGCACCAGCCACATTTGGAAGATCAGAAAGCTCTTCGAAAGTTTCCCTCGTTTCAACAACTTGAGCTTCAGTTTCAGGGAATTTGATATAATCATGTTTTATAGAAACCAGTCCTGTAACGACGTCTTCGACGGCCTCGATTACTGTCGTTGTCCCAACGTTAAAACCAGGCCCAATCGAAACGTATGTTCCTCCATGAGCTAAGCGCGTGAGCCCAATTGCCAATACCTTTTCTGGCTCAATACACCTTCTAAAACGAGTGTTTTGTCTTGTGATGTATGGGCGAAGGACATCCAAAAGCAAACGAAAAGTAGCTCTTCTCATTCGAAGCTGTTTCCTGAAATATTCGTCTGGGATTCTTGGGTCATTATAATGAATATCAAACCATGAATCGGCGGGTCGAGGGAGAACCCAAAAGTACGGATGTCCACGCCGATTTCGTCTTCGCCTTCGAATCTCGAACAATCTCAGAAAAGCTCTCCCCTCTAGTTGAAATTGAGCAAGAGACAAAATTATCAGCATCATCCTCAGCTGAGCGTACATCTGAAATTGTAGGACAAATGCTGCAGCTACAAAAAGCAGAAAACGTCTTGGGATCATGTTGTTATGAAATATGATTTCCCGCCAAGTATTGGATAATGGAAAGGTCACAAGTGTGACGAAATGTAAACATTTCGGATTTGTCCAACGTAAACAAAACGTTAGTGCGATGGAGCGTGGACAACAGACAAATTGTCAGCGGACAAACTTAAAGCCAAATCCTGTGGAGTTTGCCCCGGGACATTCGAAATGTCTGGCTCTAGTGCGATTCGGCCCTAATACTATCTTTTGATCAATCAAACTTGATCTTACTTCTACTTTGCATACATGCCCCATCACTGATGTAGCCTGTTTCAGTCTCTCAGATAGTGGGGAAGACGCGAAAGTAAAAGGCACGCGAATTACTTTCGTCCTCGCGCTCTCTCAGTTCACCAGGCCCAACTATCTCGGAGCCTGGAACAGGCTATCACTGATATAATTTGATGTCCAACCTATAGAAAGCTCTTACCTCTTACATTACTTCTTTCTAGCCTAATGATTACTCACTATCCCTTTTTTCTTCTATTTTTTGTATAAGTTGTGTAGATTTCCTATATATTGTTAAAATAGAGAATTGAATTAAATTTTCAAGTTTAATTTATCGTATATTTTCCCTCGAGACCAGCGATTAAAAGTTATTATCAGTGGCGGATCCAGGGTAGGAGCCTATTTTTATATTTCTTATCGTTAGTATAACTCAAAATGTTAAACTTCGATAAAACGGCTTCCAAATGGTTCTAGAAGCAAAGAGACAGTAAATAACATAACAAATACACAAGATGAGTCATTTTTATTTTGTATTTTTGTCAAAAAATGGAGTCTAGGACGTATTTTGCTTATTTCCATACATTCTCTTATAAATTCAAAGTCTAACCACAGGCAGCCCAAGCTCGCTCACTATGAGAGCCCTGAACAACAACATCCTGCTTGGCGAATTAATACGGCAACAATTATAAGACGTTGTATGAGAATTATCCGACTTCTCCACAATTAAGCGAAAGATGCATTAAAGTTTTCCTTCTAATCTTGAATTTATTTTTTTCTTGTTTTATTTGTGTGTTGAGACTGCGTTTCATGCCTGTTAGGATGCCAAGAACCCGAGAACAGCACTATACCCTTCTAGGCTAACTAACTATTTATACAGCAAGAAAATTATAGGACGTTGTATGCGAAATAATCTTTGTTCACTAAATTAATAAAACGTGCATTGAATTTATCGCTTTGAAACTTACTTTTAGCATTTTCTTGTTTTTCTTTGTTTATTCAATCTAGCCTGTTCCAGGCTCCGAGATAGTTGGGCCCGCTGAATCTAGAGAGCGCGAAGACGAAAGTAAAACGGGAGGAAACTGGGGAGAGAAGGGAAGGGGCGGGTATTCTCTCTAATATATTACATTTCTTATGCGTGGCATGTACTAGCTCGGGTTTCGGAGGGGGTCATTCAGAGATTAGCATAATTCGTCTTCTTTGACACTACTTTGTTTGCCTTGCAAGATTCACGATCTCTTTCGGTAACGGCAGCCGCTCTTAAAGTTAACTATCGATCAAAACATGAAACTTGGCATCCTGATCGTCGGTGAGTAGACTGAAAAATGTGACTTTACGTAACCAATGGTCCGAAATTTGCGAGGAAGGTTCTCCTAGCAACACAGAGCTTCAACGAATCCGGGAAACAAATAGTGCATTAACAAAAAAAAGCACGATATATAGTGATTTGTTTTGAAGGCGTCAGAACCATTTGCCTTTTGTTTTTCAGCAGCGACTCTGTGCAGCCTTATTAATCTTCACTGTAGAGTTCTTGGTGCCGCTAGATTCCAGAGAGCTGCTGCAGTAAGTCAAATATATCATGTTTCTGTAATCAAACTTAGGGAGGGTTTGTCATTTTGGAGTGCTTAAGGCAAAGCAAGGTGGTTGTTAAAATGTCCTGGGCCTTAGCTATGCTTTATGATATTTTATCTGCAGTAAGTCAAATATATCTTGTTTCTGTAATCAAACTTAGGGAAGGTTTGTCATTTTGCAGTGCTGAAGGCAAAGCAAGGTGGTTGTTTAAATGTCCTGGGCCTTAGCTATGCTTTATGATATTTTATCCAAGCGAAAATCAAAATTGCGTCTGACTTAGGTTAGTTATCGTCTGGATCTTTCCCGTATCCCCAGACCAACTGATTCACACTGGCTGATTGTGTATTCAGAATAAAATTATAAAATTCTTTGTTAGAACGTGCGGTCTCCATGCACACGAACTCTTTAAACTAATGTATTTACAACTACAATATTATTACTGTCTATTTTAAAAAGTAATGTGTCTTCCTGTATTTGTTCCGGGGGTACTCTCAACTTTCCCTCGCGCCTTACAAATAGCCTGCATGACTGGCGCGAAAAGGGGAGGGGGAGGGGCAGGTAGAAAAACGCCTGGCTTACCAATCAATTGCTAAACCTTAATGGGCCCTTTGCTGCTAACCCAAGAGTCGTATGTTTTTTTTTTTTTTGTGCTGTCGGGGAAACAACGCAGTTGGACCTTGAAAAAAAAGGAAATTAAAAAGAATTATTTTTTCTTTCCCTGCTGCGTCTCATGCTCCTTTTGTATCTGATGACCTTCCAGCTGCCACCTGGCCCATGGCTTGACTAACCTAATTATGCAACGTTTCAAACCACTCCTGATTTGGAAATATCAAACGTATTGAGACGTTGCACACGTCGCTTAAAATCGTTCCATTGCTGGGAGGAAAAATAAGAAAAAGAGTGTAATCCATAGGTTGCTGTTGTACTGGCTTGCTTAGAGTCAACATATGTGTACCACGCATATTAGAGGTTGTATGGCGAACAGTAAACGTATTCCTCATATAAGTTGGATACTGATTTGAAAAAAATAGACTCTTAACTAGTATTAAGAAATTCTGAATGCGCTTGTTATACAAAGAAGTCATTTCAACCTTTGTTAAGCAAAGTGGAGTCTCTGAGTGAGAAGTATAATCATTTAAAATAAATCTAAGAATGCGCTTATAGCTTTTCACTGTTGCGTGTTCCACAAAAATGCCACACTGAAGAACAATAATAAAAGTGTGGTAGAATGAATGCCTTGTACAACTTGAGCATTGTGTCCTCAGAGATGATATTGCGGAACCGTAACAGTACATTAAATTGATTGATAAAAATAAATGCATAAATATAGGTCAATACCTCCTCCCCACACCTCCGCATCTCTAGTTTACAGCAGAGGACGCAAAGGGTTTGTTTCGCTGGCAAGCTCTCTAGCAGGCTCGATACATACCATGGTAATTTTGCCATCAATTCAGTTCTTGTACATTGTATATAGCAACTGATATATTAAAATGGGTTAGGAAGGAAGGTAAACATGAAGATCGACACTCGGTGACACTCAAAACTGTGGTTGGATGAAAGATTGAATTGCAAACAATGCAGGTTGTCACACCGGGCTATTTTGACCTTTCTATGACCACTTATGTTTTAAAAATATGACAATATTGCAGTCAACCATTTGTTACAACGTAATCCTATATTGTCTTGTCTACTCATAAAGCTTTCGGGCGTTCTTTAAAACTCGAGTTCTTGCTAATGGCCAGGATAGTTTTCATGTTCTCCTTACAGTACAAATACACCTGTATAGCGGGTCGGAAAGGGGCTTTTCTGTAAACCGTGAACGCCTATTTTTAATTGCCGTGAATCGTGAACGAAAGAATTTATTTCTCGTGATTCGTGAACAAAAGTAATCCCGTGATTCGTGAAATGACTAATTGCCAACGAGCCATCCGAGCGAAGACGCTCGGATGGCGAGGCGGCAGCAGAATAGAGCCGCGTAAGACTGGGCAATAGGCAGAAAAATTCTCGATCGAGCTGAAAAAAGTGTAACCCAATGTAATGTAGATTCCCCTGAGACCAAGTGGTCAGTTGTGAACCAATCAAAAGGCAGTACCTGGCGCACGGGCTCAAGCTGAATAACAAACAAAATTTCACACACTTCCCGCCGTCGTGACTTCCTGTGTTTATTTACCTAAATTTTTTCGTCAAACCCGGCCACCGCAGTCAAGAGACATGAGCACTTGATATATTCTATTAATTTTAGGGGCCATAATGTTAAGTTTTAACGAAGAGAAGTTTGTAAAACAGCAAAAGTGTTCTATGTGCAGCAAGCAATATTCGCACCACTAAAAAGGATCAGATTACACGAGGAGATAAGGAAAGCTTGACACGAAGAATGCAGTCGCTTCTGTTGGAAAATCTGGTGTTGGGGAAAAAATCTAACCAGCAAACAAAAAAAATGAGAACAAAAACGAATTACAAGCCTAAAGCGAACGACAAAGGAAAAGAAAACAACGCCATTATTTTCGAAACCTGGCCGAGTTCAGTATAAAAATAATGAACTAAAATTAAATACCGACGTGCCGTATATCGAATGTCCTTGAAAACATTTCAGATGGCCCAGCGAATCATTCTAAGTTTCAATCCGATAACAAAAAGCCTCGGGAAATTTGAAAGGAGGTTTAAATGATTAAACTGTGCAAATATTTATCAACAATGTGAAACCGAACCGACAGTAGATTTGTAGCTGGACTTAATAATATTCCCGATCGCTTCCTCTGCGAAGCTGACTTTATTCTCTCAAGGCACTTCACACTTTTCCATAGCAGGTTTGTAAAGCCACCAGACTGAATCTGAGAACTTTTAAACAAAATAATCCTTGCAACAGGAAGGGACCAAGAAACGGTCAAATGGGAAAAAAAGGAATTCAAAATACGCATGATTTCCTCGTTGGCACTCTATCGATAGGTATACCTAGTTTATTTCTCGAGATTCGTGAGACGTGGTCTATAATTAGCTAATTTTTCGTAAAATATTCAACGTAAACTTTCCAGAAATATGATATATCAAGGTCGAGTCTGTCAATCAAAGATGAACAAAATGCCACGCTCATCCTAGACATGTCTAGACGTCACATTTTCAAATGCAGTTGTGAATTATTGTAAATTTAGAAGTTTAGGGCGTGAAAACAATTATTTCTTGTGTATGTGATATTCAAAAGTTTTGCAATACTATATGGGCGACAAATAAAATCAAACGCTGAATTTTGCGTGATTCGAGAAAAGCCTGTTTTAATTCCCGTGAACCGTGAAATTTCGATTTAAATCCCTTTGAACCGTACACGACACGCCCCCCTCCCTTTCAGACCCTCTTCCGTATACACAATCATATACTCTACATGAAAAAGACCTCACGTCACGCATAAGGGAGCATTCAGCTGTCTTTTTAGACCTCGAGAGTGATTAGTTTCTTATCAAGAGATAGCTCATTCTCTCTTGTTTCTTATGCGTTCTTTTTGGAGGACGTCTAACACCGTGACTATTTTAAAGCAGCTAGTAGTTATGGTTACAACTTTGTCATGCGCTGTAACAGAGCAGGTATAGTTAAACAGCTTAAACAAATCCTCTTTTCTAAAGTACACATATTGTTGTTTTGAGTTGGTTCATCATGGGTTTAGAGATATGAGACTATTATTTGAATGTTGGTAAAAGTATAACTAAGCCCGTGAACATGATGCTGGAGGCCTTATACCCTTGGTCGGAATTGCTTGAAGAATGATAAGAACTGGAAATATAATCCCCGAGCGAATAACCAGCCCATTTTTAACTTTCCGATAACGCTATACCCTAATTTAAACCTCTCCTTTTCGAGTTTCGCGGGCCTTGGAGCCCCTTCCCAGGATGAAACTCACGATTTCTTTGTAAAATTGGCCTCACTCCAAGCTATATGGGAGTTGGCTGACTTCGTTTTCACATACAGTAGAAATCCTAACACCTCAGGCCTCTCGCATTAACAGCCGCTCTCCACTGAGAATCTCCAAAGTCTTTTTTTAAGTGACTACTTTCTAGGGAGATTGTATTAAGGACGAAATATTTCCTTGCCGTAGTACTGAAAGTGCAAGGCTGATTGATGACCCAGACAGACCTTGCTTTCTGACTTAGCCGCCTCCCAATGCTTCCCGCAGTTTAACGTACGGGCAATAGTTTCGATCATTTTTGGCCCGGGCAAAAACAACCAAGTCAAAGAAGAGACAGTGCTTCTTTAATAGTTCTTTTTTTAACCATTTTTCAAACATCACAAGTTACATACATTTCATTTCTTTTTCAGCCATCTTTAGCAAAAGTGAACACTACAGAGCGTTTGGCAGAGCTGCGAAAATTAATGCAGAGAGAAGGAGTTCAGGCGTACATCGTTCCATCGGTCGATCAACACATGGTAATTTAAGCCACATTCACACGGCTCCTGACGAATTTTCGACCGTTTGAAAATATGTGCTATTAGTTGTTCCGTTCACACTGAACCACCTTAACTGTGAAAAATTTAGACGCCTAGCCGTTCAAAGTTCCATATGAACAGAGAGAAAAATTTAATTAAACGATCTCGTGTGAACGAAAGTGTCCGGTCAAATTTTTCAACCGGTCGAAAATTTGTGCGGTACCATGTGACGGCATAGCTTTCCTCATTCCCAGACGCCACGTGAAGCGCGGTTAATAGAAGCGTAGAGCTTCATACCTCACATTATCCTTCCCACACGTCAACACGCGCATCGCTTGAGAGTAATGAGAAATGCTTAGTGACGAGGTGTGAGGCTTGTTTTTATATATGTATATTTTGCACCGCATACCGACTTGTTTGCATGTGAAACAAAGTAGCTATAAATTAGTTATCGCACCAAAGAGTTAATTTAAAAGTTAATTATATCTGATGAGAACTAATGTTATTTTGGTGTGTTTTCTCTGAACACAGAGTGAATATGTCGCTCCACATTTTCAACGCCGCCAGTATATATCCGGTTTTACAGGCTCCAACGGCAAGTCATAGCTTTCTGTTTTAAGTTGTATTCTCTGAAAAGTTGCCTTTCTGGATCTGTAAAAAGTATTGAAGTTACTCGTTATTCTCATTTCCCAAGATTTACTGTACTCTCTGATAACCTCTCAGGGTGGTGGAAAGAAGCATTCCTAGGCGATATATCCCGCCAGCCATGCAGGCTAACTCTACAGTCAAATACCAAAAGCCCAAAAATGGCCAGTTTATAAATCAGTTCTGCTTTATTCCTCGTAGGTGACGCAGTGATTACTATGAACAAGGCTGGCATGTGGACAGATGGTCGGTATTTTCTTCAAGCCGAGATGCAAATGGACGATAACTGGACATTAATGAAGATGGGTTGGATATTTCTTACGTCTCGCTATATATTCTCCTTTCTATTAAATAACCAGTAAAAAATGTAACTTATGTAGTAAGACGAGGTTATTTTAGAAGAGCACTAACACTATCCAGGGACAATACCTCCTGAATAAGTGAGAACTTAAACGTGCTAGGTGTACGTTTAACTTCTCCTACCATTAAAAAGTTCGTAACACCAATCAGAAGGATGAACTTTGATACATGTAATTGTTATCTATGTTGTACCAACCAAGCTAGGGGCCAGGCAAGCTCTAAGTTTTCAAGAATAAATAAAGTATGAGTATGAGTTTACTTTCGAAATGATGAGGCCAAAAAAGCCCCAGTGATATGCAGTCGTAAAAAAAAATACTCCTTCGTAACCTTACTGCTGATTTTCTATTCCACCTATACTGCCCTTTGACTGCTCTGTTAAGCTGGACGTGCCCTTAGTAAAACTTGTTGCAGTCAAAGAATGTCATACTAGAATTATTAATTGCAAATCAATTTTTTTAGGTACTCCTGTCACTCCAACCCAAGCTGAGTGGCTGGCAAAGGTCAGATGAATTTCTCATTGGGGGTATTGCCTACTAGCAGAGGCTTCTTTTCCCTGGTATTCTTCGGGCGGGAGGAAAAGCCCTCTGAATACCAGGGAAAAGGGGCCTTTGCTGATGCAACCTGGTCCCGGGGCCTAACTTCCCTTGAAAAGTTTCAAGGGAATGGCTCCAGGAACCTGGGGTCTGTTTCTCGAAAGTCCCGGTAACTTCTCGGGCCGAAGGCAATTTTTAAAATCAAAACCTTTTGAATAGTAGCACAGTTGCTAGCTCACAAGCTGGTCGATTTTACTTCGTTAAACTGATAGCCGTTTCATTGTATCATTTTCAAAATTTTCGAAACTTCGATCTTTAATGGAAACACGGCAAACATAAAACAACTTTTCGGGCACGAAAAGTTCCCGGGACTTTCGAGAAACAGACCCCAGACTGGTGACCGGCTTATTTCTCTTGTTTTGTACAACTTTGGGCTAAAGGCACTTCCAGGGTTACAACACTGATCTTAAAGAACAGCTGAGATTTGGTGGGCTTTCTTAGCAAATTAATTTTCACTAATGCTTTATGCATGTACCCTCTAACATGGGAAGTATTTACTTACTTTAGTAACCTCCCTATTTTTCATTAGGCACTCTCTAGCGGCCAGACAGTTGGCGTTGATGGCCGTCTCATGTCCATCAGTAAGTACATACAAGAAAAAATGTAATATTCAGCGTGTCAGAGTCCGTTTTTTCGGCATAGGAATTTATGTCTTGCCGAAACCTTTTCCCCCCTGCCCACCAAAAAAAACAGTAAGTGACGCCATTTTCACTTGTACCAGATGACCTTCAGTTCCCTCAGGTTGAAAATCATACAGTAAAGACCATTAATGTACACATAAAGTGCCAGCAGTTTTGCAAGATTTGTGACATTTCTAGGGAGTGCGACTTCGACGGCGTCGGAAACGTTTGTGTTTTTTTTTTTTCAATCTTCATAGCGGTTATTCCAACTCACTTACTTTCTCAACTGAAGGCGAACTCTCCTGGAGCTGAAATCCCCAGTTCAGAAACAGGAAGAAAATTTCGTCGCCGTTTGTTTACGTCCTCCATATAACGTGAAATTAAGCGTCCTTACGTTGTAGTTGTGCAGTGATGGCAAAAGGAATGTACAAAAAAGTGTGCTACACTTGCAAAGTTGTTGTTCTGCTCATTAACTTAAAGCCTGCCAACTGCATGCTTTCCTGACGTGGTTGCCGTCATACTCTCTTTGTGTCTGACGCTCCTTGTAAACGTTTTACTTTGTACTGGGTTGGGCTGTGTCGATCCCTTCGAACGTGAATTGACAACATGATCGGACCGGGAGTATGCCGGCTGATCTACGCATCCTGGCGCATGCTTCTGGTTCGGAAACCTCCACGCGTTGAGGAACTATCTGACTGAAAAGAACTTACTTTAATTAATACTAAGGAGACCAGGAAAGGTGGACAAATATGAACAAAATAATGCCTCCATTAAATGTTGTAAGTATAGGTTGTGATTACAATGAGCGCTTTAACTATCGTTCATTTCAATCTTAAACTTTTGCAGCTGCCTTTGAGAGCATGTCTCAGGTGAGGAAATGTCAGCTATATTTTTATAACTGGATCGCATTCAATTTCCAAAATATTTGCAAACCCTAGTTTTATTTTCACCGCAAGAAATTATTTTATAGTAAATTTCTTGGAAGTTTTAGAAGTAATTTTTTAAGGACAAGTTGCATCAAAGAGCACTTCATTATATTGTTGTAGTTACAAATAAGAAGACACAGTAGCGCCGTTTATACGAGGAAAACTAACCCCTTGTCTTATATAAGACGCGTCCTAAATAAGAGGTAAACTATCCAGCATAAACGGCACATTCCGTTTGAAATTTAGCGAAGACGCGTCTTATCTAAGAACAGCCCCTAACACCTGTTCTTCGGTAAGACGCGTCTTTCACGTCTTAGCTAAGTCGCGTCTTAATGTGCCGTTCATAGGCGACAGGTTTCTTCTTATTTATATTAGGACGCGTCTAATGAAATACGTCTTAGTTTTCCTCGTATAAATAGCCCTAATGTCTTTAATTTATAATGACCATCAAAAGTCCATCGGATCCTGAAGAAATTCTCCAACGATTGCAAAGCGTATGCACGTGTAAGCAGTTGGTGACGGGTGAATTTAGGGAATATTTTCACGAGTTTACCATGTGATTAGCTATTAATACAAAATCACGGGTGACAAATTAGGCTCACAAGTCAATCGTGTATTTTTTTTGTAATTACTTGTTTATGACGAATCGAGAACCCCACACACTGAAACGTTTGGAGCGTAAATTTTGGCTTAAGTTGACAAGTTTTTAATTTTTCGACAAAATACCTGTTAGAATCCTTCTCGATGTGCTCTTTCGTCTGGTTAGGTTTTCTAAATCGTCTTTTAATGCTCTGACGTCTTCATTCATAACATTTTAAAATTTGGACGCAATCTTGGCTCTGAGACGTACGAAACTTTGCCACCAGATTGCAATTTTGTAATTTCACATGTTAAGGCTATTATACTACTACGTGAGAAATTTCTGCAATTTGATTGGCTTAGAGCAGTGGTATTTCAGCTTAATTTGAAATAACTACAAGTGAAAATTACAAACCTTTAGTGTGTAGTAGTATAAACAAATAATAGCAAGATTTGTACGTTATATTTTTGAAATATCACTCGTGGTATTTATGCCAAATATCACTACAAATCATGCTATTACCTATAAAACTTTCGCGCCAAAATTAAAGGATTCAGAATCTGTCACCCATGTTATTATGCATTTTTAATATTGTTAGCTGCCATGCTGGATCTAGTCGTCTTACGTCAAATTGGCGGGAAAATCACAAACTCGTTCCCAAGGTATTAGACTGGGAAACTCAAAACGAGAAACAATTACCCGAACGAAACTCGATAACGTACTGAATATGTAAAGCAAAATACATTTAATCGTTCGAAAAATACTAATTAAAGTTTCGTATGATTTGCTTTTAGGAGCTCCAAAAGTCAAGTATAACGTTGAAATCTGTTGGCGAGAACCTGGTTGACGAAATATGGACCGCTGGTAGACCGCCTTTGAGTAATGCTACCATATTTCCTCTGGAAATGAAATTCACAGGTTTGTGCTAATACTAAAAACGCCAGACACACCAAACGGAGCCTAGCAGTTGAATGGTATCGGAAGCTCGTTAGGTGTGTCAATAAATTTAAAACATGTCCTTGAACTTCACGAGTTTTCGGTGCACAAAATTTTCCCACTGGAGGCAAACTCACGCATGCGTATATCCATCTGGGATCTGGAATACCGTATAAGGGTAATTTCTGCGGCACAAATACTCAACGCGTTGATGAACAGACTCCATCCCATTCCATCCATTCCTAGACTGCGAGCAGTATCTTATCACAGTACTTTGAGAGCACACGTGAAGAGCGAGCGGAGAAGCCGCGAGGAACGAGAGTGGAAACTCTCCCTCCATCCGAATCTCTCTTCCTTTTTACCATTAATTTGCATTATTTTACTTTTTCGCTCCCCGCGCGTGGCCCTGAGGCAAAAAAAGAACGAGCCACCATTCGCGGTCTAAGTCATTTCTTAGGCTTTTTAAAATAGAAAGAAAGAAAGAAAATCTGTGAAATTGCATATTATTGACTTTCTGGGTAGAACTGACTTGTTCCATACTTGATATAACCGCATGATATTTCTGTGTTCTTGTGTTGGTGTTTATATTTATATTTGCATCTGCTGGCATTGGCAGCGTTTTTAAGTGGAGTTGTTTGATATCACGTAATGCAGTACCAAGAGCCACATATAATGGGACCTTTATTTTTTAAAAAATTGTATTAAATTGACAGACTGATTAGCTGTCGTCATTTTGGGAAAAACAATTTCACTTTTCCCTTAAAGTTGCTGGAAAGAATATTGATGATTCTTTAAATTTACACGTAGAGCGAATGCATTGAATTTTTTTTTCCGTTTTCAATTATTGCACAGGCAAAAGCTCGCAGGACAAAATAAAAGAGCTTCGCCATGAAATGTCCGCAAACCAGGCCTCTGCTGTGGTTGTTTACAAACTTGACGAAGTTGCTTGTAAGTAAATTTCTTTGTTTGTTTGTTTTTCTTTTTTGGCTTTCTGCAATGTCAATTCGGCATCAGGATACGATTTCCGTTCGGACAAAGTTTATTGGCTGTCCTACAAAGGAAGTAACTCTTATCAGTACTTTGAACTTTTTGCTTAAACTGGACACTGTTGGGAACCACTTCGCGAGTGACTTAGAGGACCTCTGTATCATTCCCCAGCAAAGCTGGAGCGAAATGAGAGAAACGGACTTCAAGTGTAAATTTTACTGCTTACTTAGAAGTCAAATTGGCTAAGGCCACTATGTTTTGAATGATTTTGCTTCTTTCCTTTAGATTTAAACTACAAATTGATAAAAGAAAAGCTTTTTTTTATTGACAAGATCTTGACCATCCATTTGAAAAAAATATATAGACGATCCACAGATTGAGATAGACGTGAAAAACAGCGGACCGCAGTTTTGCAAGTTTACGTAAAAGCTGTTCGCGCTTCCTTTTGGCTTTTCTTCACTGAGAATTCCGTTTTCATCGTTTAGAATTGCATGACGTGCCTTGATTGTTATTCACAATATCGCTGTTAGCCTTGGACCAGGCCCCAGGCCCCCAAAAAGTATCCTCGTCCCAGGCTATATCACTTTAAGTCTCGCGTCAGTTATATTTGAACTTTCAAAGTTACATACACGTGTAGTAAAATTTAATTTATTTTTTTTCTGCCTTGTAGGGCTGTTGAACTTAAGAGGAGATGATGTGCCCTTCAATCCTTTCTTTTTTGCCTTTGTCATTGTCGCTGCAAGCGATGTAAAGTAAGTACTTTTGCTTGGGCAAGCGATAAACAGATTTTTCTTTACTGCTTGCATCCATAACTTGCATTTCAGTCGATTGCCTAGGGAACACATGAAAATTCATGGAAATACTGAACGGTAGCTTAGCCTATAAATACGCCTGAATTTCAGGCTAACCCATCCACTCTTCTGTGAAAGGGTTGTTTTACTGACGTAAATAGCTTGTCCCACAGCGAGTCAGTTAGTCCGTTGTTCGGTCAGTAAACTCGCCAGTCACTTACCTAGTACTGACGTAATATCTAGTACGGCCACTTTTTCGTTTTTATCATCGGCCAAATTTAACGTATAATTTATCCTTTCCTGACAGAGTTTACGTCGATGATGCAAAGTTAACTGATAAAGCGAAGGAACATCTGAGCTCCGCTAAAGTGTTCCCTTACAACACTACCAAGTTTATTGACGATATTAAAGCAGAAGGAACTAAACAGAGCGCAAAAATTTGGGTAAACTTTACGAACCTTATAGTCGTCGGTTATTAGCATAGCCTCCCACGCAGAAATTTTGGGAGAAGGAACGCTGCATGACGGAATTTCTAAGAACGTCTGCCTAGGAAGCTATATTTAGCAGGGATTTTCAAACAGCTTACAAACTAAGTAAAACGGGTACGTAGCAGTCCTGTCATTGACAACGAGGGCCTGGAAAAAAAGCTTTACAGGAAGTAGACAAGATACGGCCGATATTAAGTCTCGCGGCTTTCGTTCGGCAGAGCTTACAGCTCTACTAAATGAATTAACTGTACGGTGGTCGATGATGCAAAGCAGAAATTCGCTTTTTAGGTAACAGGCAGACGCTTTTATCGACGCATGTCAACCGGATGTGGAAGTTTTGCATCCTTGGCAGGAGCCGCTCCTGATCCTTGGGCACTGATTTTACGCAAATTTTCTGAAAAATGTCTTTATTTTCAAGTACGTGCGAGCAGTCAAACAAAAGGTCTGAAAAGAGGCTGAAATCAGAGAGCGAGACTGGGGAGAGACAGTTTGTTTTCTCTTGCCTAGGGCGCGTGAGGCTCGCGCGCTTCGCGCGCGTAAGACTATTACGCGACGCTTTACCGATTTCTTTACTGATTTTGAGAAAAAAAACCGACTGTTTTGCAGTCTACTGTAAAAGTTGCCTTACGAATTATTTTCTTTGTAAATTTAAACAGTTGAGCCAGTATGCAAGTTATGCCATGAAAGAAGCAGTACCACAGGTAGGAAACTAATGTTTTAAAAAACACTTCAGAAACACTCTTCGCGAGTGGTTGACGCTTCCGAATCAATAAATTGTATGAACGATTGAAGATTCAGCTGTTTGGACCGGATAGTACGCAGCTTTCTAGCGTTTGGACATGATTTTATCTTTATCACCGACAATTTCGTCAAAGTTTCACACATCTTTTAGAAGCGTCCGGATCCCTTCATCAGTGACCAGTTTGCCATTATTCGCAGCCTCGTTTTGATGTGGTAAAAATTGTTCCATAAATTGGGAGGAAGATGGTAGCCCCGAACACACCGGGTTCATTGCCGATCGCCGTGTATGACTGCTTATTATATGGCCTCTTATATCTTGCGTGAAGGCAGATGTTTTCCTGGCCAGTAATTGTTACACTGGCCCAGTCTATGGTGTGACTTACGTCCTAATAGCCTGTTGAGACACAGCAGACATGAGATAACAGACTTGTACCGATTTCCGGTGTTCATTTAGTCTAGTGCCCAGTTCCCCTCTCTTCTACCGATGTACTCTAACTCACAACACCTCACGTACTTTTGATATTGTAAATGTCCCCACATTTCTCCCCAACCACGAACTCATCCAAGCTGTATTATATTATACTTGGGCGAAAAAGAGAAACGTTACATGATGGTCAAGGAGGAAACAAACACTAGGTTTTATCACGTTACTTCCAAACAACACATAGCTTTTGTGTATAATCAGAAGCTTTCTGATACTGATATTGTAGATTCATTTGGAAGAATGGCTATTAATTTTGACTTTGTTCTTAATAACGTACAGGGAAAGTTGCTTTCAAAGGACTCTCCCATAGCACTGCCAAAATCGGTTAAAAATCCTACGGAAATCGAGGGAATGAAGAAAGCTCATGTAAGTATAATGTATATCTCTTTAATAATCAAATCGAAGGTTCTTTGTTCGTGAACGTGAAGAGTTAACCGTTTTTAGTAAGTCTAGAATTTGTAAAAATTGTTTTGAATTAGTGAGCATCTCAGTCCATCAGGGGAGCATTCGTTGATAACATTTTTTTCTAGAACGGCTTGGGAAAATGTTTTGGGGAGTATTCTGTCGTTTTGGTTTTAATGATTTGTGACTTTTGTGAAATAAAGAGAACTTTACCGGTTACCTGCTGCGTAACATGAGAGACAAAATACGATGTAATTCGTATTAAAACTGTGAGTTATTTCTTTGTGATCGTAGCTCAAAGATAGCACGGCAATGGTGGAATTCTTCTACTGGCTGAAAAATGAGGTGGGATGAGATTTTTATTTGAATTTTCTTTTTCTTTTTTTCTTACGTTTATCTTAGGGTGTTTGACAGATTTTTGGAAAATCTTTTCTCCCTCACAGTGGGGCCCAAAAATGCCATGTCCGTTAGAATTGATGACACCACAAGTGGAACAAGTGACGTCGTGTCACACGAGGTGGCGGCGGTGGAAACAAGATTGCGTTAACAGTACAGTTGATGCACTCATGACCGACTCTTAAAGTGGACTAGTAAAAATCACATTTGTAAAATAAAAATTGCCGTCTTGACCGTTAGAAATAACTGAGCGCCATTGATAGAAGCTTTAAGACTGGGATTAAGATTGGGTGAAGTTAAAATTTAAACATTGTTATTTATTCCCAAGGTTCCTAAAGGAAGTAAAGATCTTACAGAAATGTCAGCAGCAGCAAAACTGGAGGAATTTAAAAGGTGAGCCTTAAAAACGCGCCTCGAGAGAATAGACCTGTTTAAACACTAACAGAAATCGAGAGTAATCAGGCAGTTTTTAGGGATTTTTTCGTCTTGCATTGACGCAAAATCGTTAACGTTAAATAAGTTTCAACTCGGGTTTGGCTTGAGTGTGGTCGAAAAATACTTTTCTATTGGGAGGATAGCCTGAGTATCCTTTGATTAATGCGGGTTTCAAAGATGCCAATTCGGCAAAAGAACCGCTGTCTATTTACTATAGACTGTTATAAAAAATTTGTGAAGAGTGATGCTAACTAACAATGTTGCTAATGTGTGTTTCTCCGTCCATTTTTTTTTTTTTCATTCAGCAAGCAGGATTTGTACATGGGAGCAAGTTTTGACACTATCGCTGGGTTTGGCCCTAATGGAGCTATTATACATTACAGGTGAAAATCATTCGAACACGTGTAACTGTCCGGCGGGTAATTATATAACCCATACCTAATCTTGCGCCCATCCCTCCCGCGGTCAGGCCAAACCTACAGACAGATGCCAGTGACATCTGGGTGCGAAAGTGACCAAACCAGGAGCGTGAACTCGAAGAGATACATACACACCTTATCCTTAGCCCTGGCAAGTGGCTACAACACTTACTCAACAAAAAGTCCTGTCCTACAACGTTAAGGCGTCCAAGGAGCTACTGCAACGAAGGCAGCAAGAACGGCATGAACAAAATAGTAATTAAATTTAAAATGTTTATTTGTGATTAAGTGAAAACAGGGGAATTCGGGGTTGGAATTGGTACAAGTTTCTTTCTATTAATATCCTTTCCGCTTATTTTATTTGCAGGCCAGAAGAACACTCGAACTTACAGATAACCGATAAAAGCACTTTCCTTGTTGACAGTGGATCACAGTTTAAGTGAGTTTTCAGTAATCATTTCGTCATGGTACAGAATGTGTAAGTTAAGATTTCTACATTTGAAGTTATTCTGGATTTAACCGCGAAACATACCCGCTGCGCGGAGTGAAATCCCTCTCAAGCCACAAGTGGTAACTCAGGCAAGATATAAAACGAGCTTAAGAGACTGTACCATTTTTGGGTTGTAGAACTAAAGGTAGCACTTTTTATCAAGGCCCCCAACGCAGACGCTGATATAAACTTCGTCATGCGTGTCCCCGCCACCAATCCCGGTGGGAGCAACACCTCACGCAGCCATTATCAGGAAACCTTGGGTAAACCAGGCTTACCAAGCTTTTAACCCAGGCCTACCAGGAAATGCTGAGAGTACCAGGCTATCCAAGCGTTTCTGGTTTCGATTTTCCAGTTGAAAACTGAAAACTTCAACCAGGCTTACCTTGAAAACTTGATAAAGCCAGGCTTTGAAGTTTAGTTAACTTGGAAAGTCTGGTTCTATCATTGTTTACCAGGCTTACCAGGCTTTTAACCAGACAGTGCAAGCGGTCAGAACGTTCACGTGGGGGGCTACTTGTTCGGAGTTAGTAGGGAATCCACACACACTTTTATACCATTGAAGACCATTGATCAAATTTCTTCAAAAAGAACATATTACGTGCATAGGTAACTTGTAATTAGATATTGACGTCTTTTCTAAACTACATCAAAGGGATGGAACTACAGACACAACTCGCACGGTCCATTTTGGAACACCGACAGAAGAGCAAAAGGTAAATCACAATTATTTTACCACGCTTATCTCATTAGTTCCATCCTATCAGTTAGGTGTTGATGAGTTTGAAGTAACAGAGAGGTTTAGAATCACGTTAACGTCAAACAGAAAACGCCCGATTCGGGTTGACAATTTCTTAAATTAGCACAATGAGCAGATGTACATTTTGTAAAACTGGCATGCAACTACTTATACAATAAACGAAAAATAAAGGGGCGTCAAACAAGAGTCAGAGTGTTTCATCCGAAATCCATAGACTGAGAAGTGGGCTGAAATAACCAGAGGAAAAGCCGAGTTTTCAGGACTGACTTTGAGATGTCTGGATGTCTGATAAAACACTGATTAAAGTGCTTGATTAAAAAGCTATTCAAATGAACAATAATTCTTCGAGAAAGTAAAAGGCCAGTGATGAAATATTAACAAGCTTTTGAAAAATACCGTAACTAAAATATTGCATTGTCTCTTTCTTGCATTCAGGATGCTTACACGCGTGTTTTAAAAGGTCAGATTGATCTCGCACTGACTGTATTCCCAAATACTACGCAAGGTACGTAGTAAGAATTAAAAGAATAAGATGTATAAGCTAATACAACGTTTTTAAGCTCCGCGTGCAAGTGTAACCAACATTTTGAATCAACAAGATTGTTTTGTTGTTATTGGTAGGTCGTTTCCTGGATCCTATTGCTCGCAAAGAATTGTGGAGAAATGGACTGGACTACAGGCACGGGACTGGTCATGGTATTGGCATGTTTCTTAGCGTACATGAAGGTGAGTTCAAAATCTTTACAAAATGGGGGTCCATAGAGTGAAATATTTATTAAGAGCTAGAGGCTGATTGGGGTGATTTACCACAGAAAAAATGCACTTGCATGAATCATGATGAGATAAGGTGAACGCGATACCATATGTTATGCGATATGACGTGACGCGATGCAACCCTTCCCAGCCTTACACCTTTTGGTGACTTGCTGATCCAGTAACAACATCTTACCTAACTTAATCATGTTGCTTGGTTACTTTTGTTGCTCAATTACCAAGTTTTTTCATCGTTCTGTAGGTCCACAGAGAATTGCGGGTGGTTGTCCTAAATCTTATGAAAGGCCAATCGTTCCTGGAATGTTCCAGTCCGATGGTAAGCTTATGAGGGTTCAAGCCCAAACTAACTGCACCTTGTCTCTTCCTAATCAAGGGAGAAACGCCTGGATTGTGCACGCGGCAAGGCTCGTCTGAAACTTCGGTATTTTTCATCTTTGGGTTCCAAAACAGTAAATTTCATAGTTCAATAGATTTTTATAAAGAAACCTCCTTTTAAATTGTATTTTATCACCTAATTAACTTGTACCACGAGTTTGTAATTAGTACAAATAAGAAATATATATCGATGGTCTACTTTTATCGTAAATGAATCAAACTATTTATCCTGTTTTTAGTCCATCCACCTTGTGCCTGCAGGGTGTTCACTAGGTATCGGAGATCGGAGAATTCTCCGTTTACTTTGAAAAATTCTCCGGCTAACGTTCGGTAGCCTGTGACTTTTTTTATTCAGATGAGGAGCTTCTTTAATAATATTCTCCTGTAACGTTACACCTTGCTCCTGCATGCTACTAGAATCCTTAATAAAAACCCTGCTCACCCGGAGAACAACATTAAAAAACAACAACAACAACGTGTAAAAGTGAAGTCTGATTATTTTTGCTACTTGCTTTTACACAGAACCCGGGTATTATAAGGATGGTAGTTTCGGAGTGAGATTGGAAAATATAGTTCTTGCTGTGCCTGCTAAAACTGAGGTGAGAATTTATTGTCGGCTAGCGTCAAATTATCGGTGTGCTATCCTCTCAGTATATTTACTTTTTTTGCCGTGACCGGCACGAAAAAAGTTTTCAAAACAATAGGCTCTTTCATCTGTTGAAAAATGGCTTTTTCAAAACTAAGTTTAAACCTGTAATAATGAAGATCATTTAAAAATTTTAAAATACAATGTCTGAATAAAGTATACATTAAAATAAATGAAAATGCATAAACATTAATTGAAAGTAAAGTTTCTGAAAACAAATGGCTATCTGCAGCAGATATTGCATTTATCATGTCATTATAATTGACCATCCAAATCCAATGGCTGAGTGAAATGCAGTGGAAAGGCTGGACCTGTTGAGCCAGACAAATCAAGTCTGTGGATTTGGATTTGTTTCTTTAGACTCAGTTATTTTGATCGTACTGACTTGCAATTGTTTGCCATTTTCATGGCCAAGAAATTGGTTGGTCCACGGTGTGTGCAAATAGTAAGCAAAAGGTTAGTTAGCCAAATATCATGCAGTATTGTGAAATGTTTAGTGTACTAGTGCTTGGATATACGTTGTGTTTCAAATTAACAGGACTTAGGAAATGGGCACTTGTAAGCACTGAAAACACCTGCCTTTTCACACTTGCTCGAGGTCATTTACTCGAGGTCGACACTTCAGAGACATATCTCATTACAATTGCTGAAAATAACATTTCGGAGCCTCCAAAGGCTTGAAAATTTTCTGGGGGAGGATACCCCCACACCCCCCTACAAGGCTCCCCTACAAGGCTCGTGCCTTCGGCACTCGCCATAATGCCTCACCGTTACAAATCACCTAGCTACGGCCCTGTGATTATCTTCTGTACCCTAGTGGCACAGGTTCCTGAATGAAATTAGCCATGCGTCTATCTTCGCAAAGATAATGAGCAAAGTACAAGCCAAGTGTTATGCACGCTATGATACTGAATCATAACCAGAATCAGAACTGAGTTTTATTATCCATTATTTTCTCAGAACACATTTAATGATGTGGAATACGTGACATTTGAATCAGTGTCCCTTGTAAGTAGACAAAATTTTGAAAATAAGAATTGGTTGGTTGGTAGTAATATGCAAAGTAATAGGCTGTTAATCTTATACCCGGATCCCGGCGTGCGTGTTATTTCGGGGAGGTGGTTATGTGTTTGATGGATCGAGATTAGTTGAGTTGACGAGATCAGTTAAGAAGTTATCTTTCCTTTTCGAGATATTAAGCTCTCACTTAAACCTGAACACCCTCACCCTTTTTATAGGTTTTTCAGACTCATTAATAAAAGTGTGGTGGCAGGGTATTGAAAATTAAGTATAACTTCTTCAACCAATTAATTTTAAGATCAGTAAAAGCGCAGTTGGTCAGTCCATTGGACAGAAAGGGAAAGAAGCAAAAGTAGAGCAAGAAAAACGCAGATGGACAACGAAACGTAACTTATTTCAAGGCTCCCTCACTTCGTTGCTTGATTCCACTTCTGCCACGTGCATGACTACATGACCAGCTCCAATTACCAAGTCTGAAGTGTCAAATCTAGTGGCGAACGTATTAGTTCTTTCGCTTGCACTACGTCAAGACTTGTGCCGCATGAAGAAAACTGAGAGTAACTCGGGGAAATTTAACCTATCACCAAGGAGAACCAAAATACATTGTTTAAGAGGACATTATTTTGTTTCTCTCTTTTTTTCAAATCTGTCAGATGTTGTGACGGGTTTCTAGCCGAAAAGCCCATAGGGTTTTATTGAGAGCTCTTGCTCCACTCGATGGTCCATAAGAATATCATATCATGATCGTGTTTAAGAGGGATGACCGGTTGATTGATTGATTGATTTAGGATAATGCAGTATAGCTACTACATTTGAAAATTAGGCCTCTTGGTACCAGCATGGCTGGCTCACTTTTATTTGGTTGACTTTTTTACGGCAGGTGCCATACTGGAAGAATCTGATCAACCTGGACATCATGACTTCCACGGAGGTATCAATAAAACATGTGGTAGCAGACACATTATTGTTCTTGTATGGCTACAATAAAAAGCGCGCTCTGATTGGCTGTTTTCTTCTAATGACCGGGCACTACTAGCTAGGTGCCCGAGGCAAATACAATCTGTGTTTAACTTGATAGTGAATATGGTCAATTGACAGCTGTCAAAAAGGTATCCACTGACCAGTGTCACCTGACCATATCGCGGGCTCAAGTGTACAACTCATTGAGGTCACTTGTTTTTTAAAAAGTTATCCGCTGACCAGTTATTGGTTTTAATTCATCTCTGGATCAGGTCCATAATGAAATTAGCTATTCAAACCTCGGCCTTGATGTATTGACCTCGCGATCGTTGTTAAATACATCAAGGCCTCAGTCTGAGATTTCAGCCTCGGTTAATAAGTAGTATGTAATCTTAATTTAGAGGGGCTATGTCACGGGGATGGCTTGGTCAATTCTGTGCTGAAGTCATTACTTAGTCCCGGGCTTTACGCGGCAAACATAAAATGCTCCTATTGCTGGTTTTCAGTGTCATGCCATTCAAAATAGATCGAAATAAAAATCAAAACCGTTCAATAGATAAAGTCTAGAATCTGAGAAATTAAATGGAGGTAAATATGCAACGACTCTCGCCAAGATTCAGGTCGGAGGAATTTTTCGTATACGAGATATCCCCGGTGCTCACCTGGATGAGCTCCAACATGGCGGACCGAAACCAACAGAAACATCTGTTACCGAGTTTTGCTACAAAAGTGTGAATTCATTCTGTGAAGAGATAATTTATTGTTATTCAGTTATTTTGCTTTCGCTGATAAAAATATGAAAAGCCAATGTAGGAATCCTATATTCTTTAGTCTTAACTTCTTTTAGCCGTAAACAACCTGTTGATTTATTGAGCGTTAACTTATTTGTCAAGTCATAATTGAACTTAGTTTAAATACCTGTAAAAGCCGTTATCCACCTGATATTTTGGAAGTCATTTTTTCAAAACAAGCTTACATAGTCTTGTAGAAATGATTGTTGTGCCGACTCGTTGAGTTGTGATGTAATCTGTATCCTTCGCTAGTCACGCTTAAATACGAGTGCTTTGTAGAAATTCGGTTACGTCCTGGTTACATCCATCATCTAAAACCAAGAATAGTCTTGGATTAAACTTTTTGGACCCAAGTTCTGTTGTGAAAAAGGGTTTCAGCAGGCGTAAAATTCCGTTTTCCCCATTTCCCAGAGAATTTTAGGTTTTTCCCGACCGTCATTTACCCTTTTGTGAAGGCAAAACCAACAAAATTCACAAACATTAAAGTAATAGTTTTTCTAATAATAAAGATAGAAAATATCAAACAAACAGCTTTCGATCTCTTGGCGTCATGTAAATGCAGGGCTTAGAAATTCAACTATCATGAATTTTTTTGAAGCAAAAATTTGTATGAAAATTAGTTTTCATTGGTGACGTCATGTGAAAACCAACAATTATAGAGTTTATAATAAAGAAGATATCAAACAAATTTCACGGCAGGGAGCACTAACCATGGTATTTTTTGATGATTTTTGCAGGAATGGCATTAAAACTTGAAAAAGTTCAATCCATGTCCATCCTTGCTATCCGTTAACACAGACAACGGGAAACAGTTTTAATTCCTAAAGACAGTCTTAAATAACAAAATTGGACTCGGTTATTTTACTTATTTTTGAATTCAATTGATTGACAGAGACGTATTAGCTATTCAAAAAGATTGCAAGTAGCATGATATATCCCCGCCTTCAATTAGTTTTACCGAGCTTTGTATCGCAGTATCTTACGAGTCTTACGTGAGCCATGCATATGACACACTTTACGCCACTTGCTGTTTTTTTTTTTTAGATTGATTGGTTGAACAAATACCATAAAGATTGCCGCGAGAAAGTTGGCAAGATGTTGAAAGACCAAGGAAAGCAGGACGTCTACGATTGGCTGGTGGAAATCACGAAACCAGTTGAACAAAAAGGAGGAACACCCACTGCAGGAAGTGTTACCTTAACACTCTCCGCGATTACTTGGATGTCAGTTGCAGCTATCAGCATGTTTTTGTTCTTTTGAGAAACAACCGCTGAGCTTTAGAATACAAAACTAAAAGTCTAAATAAACAACTTGATCGTGTAGCCTTAGCCTTAAATCTTTCCTCCAAGCTGGTAAAATGTGAGGAATGAGGATTTTGACCTAATTTAGAGTTTGAAAATCTAAATCCGCCCGATTTTCAAGAAGACGGTCTCTTGACCAGCGCCCCTTCTTGTTCCGACATTAGCTGCTCAGGATTTTTACTGTTTATTTTCTTTTTTTATATCCACCTGAAACCCATTGCTCCGGACTATATACTGGACTATAGACTATATTATACCAAAAAATATGTATGATTTCTAAATTTTGATTTTAGGCGGTTCCTGCAATTAGGATTTAAATGAAACAATTAAAATGTAAACTATAAAAACAAAGATTGCTGCGAGTTCCTTCATTTATTTTTTGCGTTGAATTAGCACTAGCTGCGAGGATGAGTGGGAGAGCTAAGAAAATCAACCCAAGTTAAAGATTATTATTAATTTTCGTCCTCTGCAAAAGCCACTGTGTCTTTCCAGGCTGTGTTTTGTTGATGAATGGGGACGAAACGGAAAAAGTTCAATCCGCTGAATGACTGTAAGAATTTCCAGAAAATTTAAAACTACAACGAGATTTGTTGTCAATACGGTCATGTGCCAATTGGCGGCACCTGAACGTTTGGATTGCTGATCACTCGGTAGCCTGAGTATCAGGCGTTTCTGGGGAAAAGGGGAAAGATGGAAGCGAAAAAGGGAAAGAGAAAGTCAAGTATGTTTACAAACAATTCAAGCAATCAATGCGATCATCATGTCTTATATCATTTGTCGTGAGCCGTTTTTGAATCCTGGCAACCACTAACCAAGGTTACAGCTAGGATTACTAAGATTGGCCTCAGTTCGACTGGTCGTGCGTAGTCTGAACGCATACGCTTCTGGCGCGAACTGCACTCGACGTAATCATTAGCTTGCCTGAATGCATGCAGACGTCTCTTATTTCCTTTGTTGCCCGCGGAAAAGGAACGCAATAAAGGAAATAGGAGACGTCTACACGCAGGCAATCATTAAGCCTGGTTCTCATATGCCGCCGATGTATCTGCGACGTAGCCGCCAGTACCGCTTGGGACACTTCTCGGACGAATGAGAACATGCGCCCCGGCAACTAGAGCCATCGCAGAGCTTTACCGCCGGCATGCCTGCGAAGTTGAACTTGAGTCAACCTCGCAGGTATGCGGGGGGTAAAGACTCGGATGAGCAATGTTGCCGGCTACTTCTGTTCTCGGAACAGTATCCCAGGCAGTACCGGCGGCCATGTCGCATGTGCATCGTATATCGGTGGGCTGGCATATGAGAACCAGGCTTTAGCCTGAGAAAACAGCCGGCTTTAGCCTGTTCCCAGCGTTCAGATTGTGGGCATGGTGCAAAGAGATGTGTGCAGGATAAACGGTATCTGTACCGGCCGGCTATCCTACTTTTAACGAACGACGCCAATTCTGGTTTCCCCGCTGTCAGTATACGACGTCATCCTCCGTCATCATGTTTATTAATATACGGTAATACAAACATCAGGCACTGTAAAATAAGAAAAAAATATTGCCATCCGTATGAAAATAAAAGAAAGAAAAAAAATCTCTTAACAGAAAAAAAAAACAACAACAAAAAAGTCAAGAACAGACTGTAGTCCTGTTTACTTGCGTGACCCATCCATTCTAGTGTGTGGTGTGACGAATTGGTGTGACGAGTCGTGTGACGATTCTTGTCGACTAGTTACCAATCTCTTAGCATCTCCGCCTGGCATAACAGTTCAGCTGGTCGTTCAGCTGTATTCGAGTTTGGTACCGTTCATTCACAGTTCATACACTAAAATTATGGGAATTCTAGCAAGTCGAGGCATCGAATATGAAGACAGTTATCGTTCCTTCTCTGAGAAAGAGCGTCAACAGCTTCTGTCGCTTTTTGAACGGCTTGCTACGGAGAATGAGCATGGTATTATGAAAATAGAGTTTGAACCTTTTAAGGTGAGTTTGATTTTATGATGAACAAGAGAGAACGATCAGTTGTTCGATCGACAGAATTTTGTGTCCAGTATTTCTGAACGATGAAAGGAAACATGAAACTGCAATTTTGACACTGTTCAAAGTTTCCAGTAGCGCGCATGCAGGTGTCAATTCAAAACCCATGGGATTGTGTTCACCTTCGATAAAAACCAGCTGCTTCTCTCTGTTGTCTGACAGTTTTCTTTGTACCTTTTAATGGTTATCTTTTGTCGTTTCCTGTTTAACACTACCGCGAATTGATTCAACCTTTTTCCCCGGCCCAGGGATGTCCTTATTAGATCTATAGTTGGCTTGACTTATGTCTCACTCAGTGCCGGGGGAAATTTGACAGCATATATAAATAGCTGAGTTAAAGGAAACAAATGATATGTGCAAACAATACAGCCTTACGAAAACCCTAATTAATGCTCAAAATTATGTGAATAATTATGAAAATACTTCTTGCTCTTGGATCTCTGGTGCAGGATGGCTTTGCAGATACTGACAGCCTAAAATAACCCAGTGGTATCAATAATGGAGAATTTTATATTTGTATCAGTGACATTTTAAGGATTTTTTGTTGCATAATTATTAAAGTGGTACAAATGCCCAGTATTTTGGATATCAATAATGGAGAACCCTTTTTATATTTGTTAATGGCATGAAAAGGAAAACTTTATTTCCTCTTTGTAACATTTGTATAGCATCAAGCATAAAATAACATAAGTTTTAAAAAAAAAAAAAAAATGTCGGATAATACAAATGTCTAAGGACCACACCAAACAGAAACAAAAGGGTCAGAAAAGATACCCTTCAAAAACCATACCCTATTCCGCGGGCCAAAACCCCATAAATAGAAATGGCCTTTGGGCCAAAACCCTTACATGGCATACTTGTAACACTGTGTGTTATTCGTATACTAAGGAAATCTTAATTATTTGCCTACTGTGGGCACGCAAGTGAGTGTCAGGAGTTAGAGCATGCTAATGACTTGTGATCATTTACAGAAAATGTACATTTTCAAACATAAGATAATCTGCCTCTTATTGTCATCAAAAAACCAGACTGCCAGATTGAAATAAGTTAGTAATAAGTCAGTGAAAATTACATTCGTCACACTCACCTCTGTTTTCACCAATGCAGTTCCCCACCACCCAATAAAACCATCATAAAACAAAATGATTTATTTATTTTTATTATTGCAGGAACATGTAGCATGGCTTCTGCCAGAGCCGATTACTATCCGTTTCTTCAAGGAAATGGACAAAATTCAACAAGCTCGTAGAGCTTTGAAAAATCCCTTGCCGAGTGGTCAAGTAGCAAAAGTGGCTTTTTTTGTTTCCATGTCACATGTTTTCAAACAAAGCAGGGAAGAAAAGGCACACATTTTTTACTACTTATCTGCTGATGTTGATCAAGTTGTAACTAGTGTAGAGGTAGAAGATCTTTGTAAAATTCTTTTGGAGTGCTATGTAACTGCATTAAAAAAGACAATACTTGGTTCAAAATGGAAACTGATGACAAACCCTGAGGCAAATCATAGGTTTGCAAAGAATGCAGTCAAGGATCTTCTAGGCAAGAAAGCTGATCCCAGCTGTGTTGCACTTGAGGAATTTCTTCCCTGGTTTAATAAGTTTCCCATTATAGAGAATTTGTTTCTGGCTGTGATGAGGGCTTGTTTTTTGGATGTGGAGAGTCTTGTGGAAGAGCAGCCTCATGGACTGGTAGAAGGATGTGAGGAGACTGTTGCTCATGTTCAATATGACAGGTCAGTCAAATTTGCTCATCTACTGTTTACTATACGTTACGCTGATGTTGGTTGTTAAGTAAACCAAACTTGATACTTTTTAAATGTGGCCAAGGTAATTTCGGCAAAGTTAACCTTGAAGCAAATGCTGGTCAGCAGTTTTCCCAGCTATGATGGGGGTGGCCCGATGCCTCCAGCAGGGGCAGCAAGGGCGCTTTGTGACCTGTATACACAGTTCCTTGCTTGCAGTTCTTTGCAAAGTGTATTCGCTATAGCCTTGTTACTTGCTTGCCATTTTTGTTCTGTGTTTTTCCCAACCCTCCCTTCTCTCTTTAGTTCAGGGCCAAGTATTACTAAATATTGGTTGGTAAGTATTCCACTGAACAGTTCAATGTGACAGTGCCTGGTGGGGGCTGCTTGCAGGGTTGCCATGGATATCTCCTTCCTCGTGCTAGAGCATTGCCCAGCTCCACCAACTTTGTAGGCACCAGCACCCAAGCTCATCTTTTGATGATGAGTTTAATTAATGATAATGAATTAATCACAAACTGGTAAATTACTAAAATTAATTCAGTCATTGTTTACTACAATCAATTAATGGAGTGGAGAAGTTGTTACATCACGTTGCCATGGTAGCAAAATTTCTGGATGACAACAAGCCAAAACATCACTTAAAAAGTGGATTTACACTGTTTCAAACTTTATCGATCTTATTTAATTTCATTTAATTTGTCAAATGTTGACAAAATTTATGTGGGATAAATTAGAAAGGACCATTGTGTCTATTAAGTTTAAAAAAAGAAAAAGAAAATTTTTGTGTTGTGCTCACCTACTCCATAAAGTGGGCACGTGAAATTAGGACATTTCATTTCGTAGTCATGCAACAAGGGCTTAGAAATGTACAAAAAAACATGAGGCATGTGCAAAGTTTTTTTTGCCAATCTTAACCTATTCTTTTTTTTGCTATTCACCATTGCCGTTGCAAAAACTTCCTGTTTTTGTGATCTAGAAATGTTGCTACCATAGTAATGTGACGTCACACTTTTCCTCTCTATAAGACAGAAGTTTTAAGCTTGTCATTTAATGACAAAGATGATTTTTCAGTCATCAGTGAGACAGGTGGCTTGGAAGAAAAACTCCAAGTCCTTCCAAATTGGGAGTCGAACCTATGACCTTCTGGTTACTAGTCCAGATTCTGTACCACTAAGCTACTGGAGACTCGTGAGAGCCAAGGCCAATAAACTAGGTTCATGTGACAAACACTGCGTACTGCTTGGACTAGGACTTCCAGCTGTCACAAAAATTGGTTTAGACATCGAGAAATATTGAGTGACATTTACAGCAAACAGCAAACATCAGCTTGAAGCTGAAAATTTCTCAGAATAGAAAATGTGCAGCTAAAAAACAGTCCAAACCAATTGCTCTAGACAAACTAGCTTACTGGAGTCTACCAATTTGGGGTAAATAGGAGTTATAAACAGTAAGGCACAAGTCAAGGGAAAACTTGGTCATGTGGTACAATTTCACGTTTGCTGTTTGCTGTAAATGTGACTCTAAAGGTCAAATGTATTTAAAAAATGGTTTTTGTTTGATTATTATAATTTGATTTTAAAATTTACTAATTTTTAGGTCACACATTATGATGCCGTGTAAATTTGAAGCTGACTTTGATAAAATTGATCCACTCTTGGAGGTTCCATCCATTATAATGATAAACCATCACCTGCCAGCAGCATTGCAGCATCAGTGGCGACTCTTGTTTTCAACCCAAATTCATGGTGAAAGCTTCAGCTCATTTATTCACCAAATCAGTAATCAAGGTCCTGTGCTCATAGTTGTCAGAGATACAAATGGAGGTATCTTTGGAGGGTTTGCTTCAGAGAGTTGGACCATCAAGTCTCATTTTGTAGGTATGCATATTACATTGAAGTTATTGTAACATGCTTGTTGCATAGGAATGTTGCTGGAGGCACTTAAATCTTGTGTTATTTTGGTCAGGAAGTTTTGAATGACAACCATGATAAAGTTAATTAAGATTAATGTAATTTTGTTATAATATGTTATTGTAACCTTTTCTGTCCTAGAATTACTAATCAAGACGTGATGGGTTTCTAACTAATGAGTAGCAGATAAAATCCTTTTAAAGTTATGATATTTAGCGAACTTATTTGACACTACTTTAACCCATTCGCTCCTTGAGATTTTGCCGAAAAACGTGTTTTGAAGCTAGTCGAGTGGTTTTCTGGTCACTGTCGTGTTATAAAGAGCTAAAACTTACCACAAGCCAGTCTACAACATCCAGATGCAAAATATCAGCTTGGGATCAACGATTTTGTTTTTGGGTTTAAAAGTCACATGCTTTTTACTTTTTCGTCTCTCCTCCCCTCTTTTTTCGCTTTTCTTGCCTCATTTTGTTTTTCTCTTGCTGGGCATTTAGTAGGCTTTGTTTTGGTGGGAAGAGTTTTTAGGAAAGCTTTTAGGATCTTAGGATTAGGTGAAAGGAAAGGTAGGTGAGCAATGGAACAAGATTTTCATGGAGATTTTCAGGTCAATGTCACATGGTTTTTTGCTTGTTTCTTTGGTGTCCTTGACTGAATTGTGCTTATTCTGGTATGGTTTGAAAGATCTCTTCACTCTGCACAAGTTAGTGGACAAAGTTGTCCTTGACCGTTAAAACTGATGACGTCACAAAGGGTAGAAAGGACGCGGATCCGCAGGGGCGGTTACAGGCAGTTCAGGGGCAAATGTGTTAACATGGGATCAACAGTTTTATATCCATGCAGTCTGTCACACAGCAAGAAATCACTGACCTTCCTTTTTTTTAATTTCCTGCTCTAGAAAATTTGCTTGGTCATTTCTCCTGACAGCATTTGCATGTTCAAGTTCTCTGAAGTTCATTTCTTAAAAACTGCCTGTTTTAATCCACCTTTAGGTGACAGCCATTGTTTCTTGTTCAGTGTGAAGCCAACGATGGGTGTTTATCAGCCAACTGGCTACAATGAGAACTACATGTATCTTAACATGGGCATGCAGACTATGCCAAATGGTTTGGTAAGGAGTAATGAATTTGGTACAATTCTATTAACAGTGCCCCCTCCCCCCCTCCCCACCCTTGTTGGGTACATTTGTTAGAGTATGGGTGGGAAGTGTGTTTTTGCTCCCTTTGTTATATCAAAAATACAAGTGTTATTAGGCACATTTGGCACTATTTTAGGATCACACTAGAAATGGAAGCAATCATCGTTTCTGTATCCCGATCATAATTAGCCTCCCCGCAGACGTCCTTTGGGGTTCGTTTGTCACGCATTCATTTCTCCCCATCCGTGGGGATGATTAGAACCCCATTCTCGCTTTCCTTTTTAGAACCCCATTTATCACTTTCCTTTTTCCCCTCCCAATTCCCGCCCTTTTATATGAGATAAAATCCGGGTCACGAAAAGCCTGATGAATTGGTCTTCCCTTGAAGACAAACTATAAAAAGTGTCAAAAGTACCAGCCATGAGATTATAACCTTCTCCGCCGATATATTTTTTTTTCACAGGGTATGGGAGGTCAGTTAAATTATTTTGGCTTATGGTTGGACGAAAACTTCGGTTCAGGGCACAGTCGCGGACAGCCTTCCTGCACAACATATGGCAGCCCTCAGCTTTCATCAGAAGAAGAGTTTAAGATTGACAGACTTGAGGCCTGGGGTGTGGGTGTGCCTCCGGAGAACTTGGTAAGCCTGTGCCGTCTTTCTCTCGATTCTGACTCGAGTAATTACAATTTCATAATGTTTCAAATGTGTGGACGCTTCTGTTCGTATCTGGTGGCGAAATAGGCTCCGTCTATACGGAAAAAGTTGTCCCAGGTAAAAAGTTGACCCTAACCCTAACCCGCCTACCCGAGCTACCCCGGGTGATCCAACTTTTCATGCTTTTCCTTACAAAACTTGGCGAACGGATTACATGAGAAACAAAAAGTTGGCTCGGCGTTTCTATGTTACGGTCAAACTCCTGGTCGGGCCAACTCTTCTCCATATAAACACTAGGGACCTTAAGATGAGACGACGGCGACGGCAACGAGAACTTCATAAAACTAAAAAGCAATAGGTTAATTTAATAAGCAAAACAACAACTTTGCACGTGCATCACACTTTTTTGTACATTTCTTTGCCGTTTGTGCACTTTCTTCACTTGTATAAGGCTCTTAGACTTCAACTCCAGAAGAGTTCGCGTACTTTCGACAAAGTAAGCGAGATGGAATAATCGCGATGAAGATTGAAAAACCGCAAATTCACTTTTTAAGCGACGTTTTACCTGCTTTCGCCGTCCTCGCATCTTAAGGTCCATATTTTGGCTCGCCCAGCCCGGTCAACTCGGTCAAGGCGAGACAACCAGAGCATGCGCCAGCTCTGTTGGCTCGGTCAACTTTTTCTGATATTTTAAAAGCTCCTTAAAGTTGACTCGGCTGCGAGTGTGACCCACTTTCCGCGCGGGACAACTTTTCGTCATATAAACAGGGCCTTAACTTACGATACTAACGACTATATACCTTAGTGTAGTAAGTTCTACTAACCATGACAATCTCGGTTCTAACTCTTGCAAGTATTTTCCTTGATACTTCACTTGGACTTTGCGGCGCTTGAAACTTGTTCTCATCGAGTGAAACTGTTTTATTTTTTTTTTGCCTTTAAACAGCTAGAGAAAAAGAGCGTTCTGGACACAGAGGTTGAAGCCAAAGCGTTTTTGGAGGTCATGGGGAAAAAGATACACAGCGAAGGCTACAGAGAACCTGCAGACATAGACTAAAAATTGGCTCTAAGTTTGCGTTAATATTACTACGATAGATGTACCTCCATAGTTGCAACTAAAATCTGTGAAGTCTTTCTCTCTTTTTATATCTTTTATTTTCCTAGGCTCTTATTGTGTAGACTTCTTTGTGTTTTTTGTTTGTTTTACGACACCCTTGAATGTTGCCGGTTTTTACACCGTGGATGAACCTGTTCAATGTCACTTTTAGTCCCTACGTTTATTTACTGTAAATATCAGTAGGCTCAGTCTTTAACTTTGCTTTCTTATTACTTGTGTGCTAAGGTCGTTTCTGGATGACTGATTCTGCACTGCTTCTCAGCGCTGGTCTCGTTGGAACTTTATTTAATCATAGGATTAATCAAGGGCAATTTTGAAGGTGAACTAGTAATTATTTATCATTTCCATTTTGCCTCTGAAGACAAGAAATTAAATTTAATGATATTATTATAAATGAGTAGTTTATTTATTACCGTGTACTGTTAGCTGAATTAATACCAGTGAGCAATGGGTTGCATATTTAAGGAAAGGGCTGATCTTTTCGAGGGCAGACCATTCAAAAGTTGTTGTGTTGGAGGGTGAAGTTTACTTTGCTTTACTACTTCTTTCCAGCTTCATTTTTTCATTCATTTTTGTGTGCAAGACTTGATTATGATCACAGCTTTCTGCAAGCTGTGCATGCATTATATTATTATTATTTTTTTGCCTTGGGCGATTGACCCTTGCACTTATTTCTTTAGGCACTTACCCTCCTAACTACAATTGTCTACTACTGCTCGTCTTTCAATACTGTACTGTGATTAGTATCTGCTTGTGTTTTGATGTGTTCCTTGACACCCGGTGACCAAAGCCTTTCTTGTGTTTTTTGGTCCTCATTGCAAGTTGCAGAAAAAAAAAAGAATTCGACATGTGTCCGTTAGCGACTCTTAAGAAAATATTTAATAAATTATTGTCTGTAAATATATTCATAAAGAGATATATAAGATCCGACGACGGCGACGGCGACGGCAACGAGAACGTCAAAAAAGCGATAGGTTTAATGGGAAAAACAGCAACTCTGCAAGTGCTTCACGCTTTTTGTGTACATTTCTTTGCTGTCACTGCTGTGCACGATTACGACGTAAATATGCCTACTTGGAGGACGTAAACAAGCGACGACGAAATTTTCTTTCCCATATGAACATAGATATTAATCCTAGGAATTCAGCTCCAGGAGAGGTCGCCAGCATTTAACAAAGTAAGTGAGTTTGAATAATCGCGATGAAGATTGAAAGAGCGCGATATTACTTTTAAGCCGAACGAAGTTTTCGCTTCCGTCGCCGTCCCGTCCTCGGATCCGTTTTGCGAATAGCAATATAAAAGGTATTTTAGGCCGCTTTCGCACCGCACCGGACGAATTTTCGACCGGTTCAGTTAAAAATTCGTGCGTTTGAACAGGTGTTCCGTTCACATCGAACTACGTGGTTTACGGTGTTTTCGATACAAAGTCGTTTCGATACAAGTTTATTCTGTTTAGGTGTAAATAGTTCCACATACTTGGCTTAAAGAACGAAGAATATTCACCCAAAATGTTTTTCATGTTCACCCGCAAACTATGTATCATTGCTTGAGTTTGTATCGAGACGACTTTGTATCGAAACGACCGAATTCCAACTAGGTCCGTTCAAAGTTCCATGTGGACGGAGAGAAAATATTGAACGGTTCTCGTGTGAACAAGTCAGTCGGTCGAAAATTCGTGCGATGCTATGTGAACGTAGCGTTAGATTCGAAGGAGATAAGGTAGACCGCGAAAACAACCTCGTCTCTCCTCGCTCCTCGCGCGCTGCTAGGAACGTCGCGGGATAGAGATAAGGCCTCTTCGAAATAGTGTGATGTATATCATATTTAAAGCGACAAGAACTGTATTCAAATTATATTAATATGTGAATGCAAGGTAATGCCGAAAATGAAAAAGTATTGAATTCAGGATAGTATTGTGCCAAAAGAGTAGTTATAATAGCCCATACAGAGATGTGTATGCTGAACAATAAACGTTTCTATCAATTCATATGGAGAGAACAGTATTTACAAACGTTCACTGAACGAAAACTCTGGGTTGGACTTTTTGTCACTGAAGACTCCTCTAATGCGAGACTGTCCTCATTTCTCGCTTATCGCGGCTTCACGTAAACCAGTGCTTGCTTTTCAAAAAGACGAATTGTCCCTTGTCCGAGTCAGATTACACATCCGCAAACCTTTTATCTCCCAATTCTTAAGGAAAGATATTCAACTTCCGTGTGTCTCGAGGTCCTTTAGAACTTATGAAACCAGTTTGCTGCTTTAGGTTCTTATGAACGCATAAAACCTACCTCGGGAACTCTTATCGGGAGTTGTTTTGTTCTTTCTTATGCACTGGAAATGTTCCCGAGGTACTTTTGTGAAATTGGCGGTGACTACAATTGTAGCTCTGACATGTCCCGACTTGACATGACAGCTGTCAGTCTTAATTATTTGAAATTCAGTCTTACATCAGTAAAAAAACGATTGGTTGTAATGAATATTATCATATTTTCCTTCTGGGTTATGGCGTACTTTTGTGAAAAGACCGAAACCCAGTTGGCGGTAACTACAATTGTAGCTCTGACATGTCCCGACTTGACATGACAGCTGTCAGTCTTAATTGTTTGAAACTCAGTCATATTTTCCTTCTGGGTTATGGCGTAGCCAGAAAATCAGCTTTAACTCTAAAATTCACTTAAGTTCAGTTAGTGTCCAGTGAAAACAAAATAGTCAGAGAGAGAGAAAAAAAAAATTACAAAGAATGTATTGATGTATATAAATCGCTGACTCACACCATCGTTACTTCAAAAAGTACAAATGTTCAACTTTTGTACATTACATAAGTTGTTTAATTAAAGTCTTCTTGCAGTAATAGTTAACAATACTAATTTGTCCCGTCTTTTCAATACATTAAATCGAAGTTGTTTACGACTTTGCAAGAAAAACTAATGAGCGTCAAAATATAATTACGCGGATAGTCCAACAAAAGGTGTTTACTTGGCAACCAGTCTCAAACAATTGTTAATCGATTACACTAAATGAAGTATAACTAATGATTTGATCAGGAGATTCGGATGGATAGGGTTTCTGTCACTAAAACACATAGAAGATTAATAAAATCAGTATTCTCCAGGCGAAACTTTGTTTTTCCGTGAAGATTTTGTTTGGTGAAGTAAAAGTCTATTAAAGTCAACGGAACGTATCCTTTGTTTGACCGGCGCGACCAATTAATATGAACAAAAGACAGAATTTAACAAAAAATAAATCTTACTATTAAAATCACGTCTCTTAACCAAATCAAACAGATGCATTAAACTTTGCACACCTTTGCGTAAATAAGGATACTAAAAATAATTCAAAACTGTTGAAGCTTCCCCGTGTAAAACATTGAGCCACTTACCCAAGGGGAAAATGGCTTGTGTAACTAAGCTTCGCTCAGATTAGTTAACTGTCTGAATAGCTGTTACAATGAATTTTAGTCCCTCTACGTATTTCCCAGACATAGGGGCTGTCCACACTTGGTGCCCGGGAACCACTGCCTGGGTACCGGCAGAAAATGGAGTTGTTTTCACACCTTGAAAACCGTATTTAGTGTGACTGTTTACATAGTTACTCCATCTCGCCTTGTCAGACGCCATTTTGAAACATGAGCTAAAAGCGAGTACAAAGCATTGGACTGTCTCAGAAGTAACATCGCGGTGTACACACACGGACCCTGTGCTCACTTTTGTGCCGAGTACGTACAAGGTCGAACACCGGCACCGTGCCCGAATTCTAGCGTGGGTACTTGAGAAAAGGGTGTGTTCACATTAGTACCCAAATATAACCAGTACCGTACTCGGGGACTGTGCCAGGGCACCAAGTGTAAACGCTGCCTATATTCTCCTCGACTCGTTCCTCTCAACTGTGCCCTGGAACACAGGCCAGTATAAAGATGACAAGAGAATAAGTAACCAACAAATATATACTCGATACTTAAGAGCGGCTGTCCGTAAATATCGCCTGGTGGTGTGAAAAATGAAAAAATCGAAAATCCCCAAACTTTGCAAGAATATAGGCCTAGGCAAACTATTTCTAGGAAAAATAACTTTTAGTTCGATTGGATTTTTATTTTACGCGTTCGGCAACCGAGTCGGTTCGGTTCGGTTTTCGAGGGCTCAAGACCATATATTACTTAAAAATCGTTTAAAAATTAAAGAAGTAAAAAACTCAACCTTCCTCTCCCCTCGCGTGTCTCCTTCTCGCGCGCCCGTTTTTTCTTGTGCCCACTACTTCCAAGCGCCTGCTACGCAGGCTAAAAACTCAATAGAAAGAGCACAACTTGACCAATAGTTTCGATGTGAAATTTTTCTATTCGACAGGAAATCTAATATTTTTCGGATTTTTTAATAATTTTACTTATTTTACCGATTTTTGACAGACATAAAATTGGCAAATTTCAGACATAAAAATCACTACTTGGTATACGGCTTTGAGCCATAACTTACCTGCCGATAGAAAGAGCAAGGTGTCTTCCTCAAATAAATGCAATAAAATTTTTGGGTAATCCTGCAGGGAAAATGTTTGAACGCCAAACAAAAGCGACCCTTGAGGTCAAAACACGGCATTTTGTCAGGCACAGTGCTGCTGACATTCCCCTCCCCCTCCCTCTGGAGCATCACCCTACCCTAGGACAAAAGTGAGTAACGCATTCTCCTTCCCTCTCCGAGCAGGTACAGTGGTGTGAGGAGACCGCAATTATAGCCGGTTATATATTTCCGAAACATCTTCATTTCCTAAGAGATAAGTATTATATTTAGTCTTTATACATCGTTATGTAAGCCAACGTCGGTAAATTTGTTCTGTTATGTGCATGAATCCAGTTCGTAGTAAGTTTTGAAACATGTGATCCGCATGCTTGTCAAACATTGACCGCCGGTTAAAATTAGGCTTTCGACTGCCAACGGGCACATTGTAAGGGAAATAATTACGCGAAAGAAATGTAGATAAGTCGAGTCTAATCAATATTACTCAATAGCAAAGAGCTTTGGAGGAATCTGGCCAATAGAGCATTTTTATTGATTTAACCGCCTTCGAATGTACTGACAAAAAGGCGTGTTTTGACCTCAAGGGTCGCTTTTGTTTGGCGTTCAAAAAATTTCTCTGCGAGATTGCCCAAAAATTTTATTGCATTTATTTGAGGAAGACACCTTGCTCTTTTTATTGGTAGGAAAGTTATGGCTCAAAGCCGTATACGAAGAAGTGATTTTTGTGTCTGAAATTTGTCAAATGTCGCGGTCGGGGTCCAATGTCGCGGTCGCGGTCCAATGGCGCGGTCGCGGGTCCAATGTCGCGGTCGCGGGTCCAATGTTGCGGTCGCGGGTCCAATGTCGCTGCAGGGGAAAATGGTTTGGAGTTCGAGGTAACTGAGTGAAAACGACTGATATGAAAACAATATAAAGGGAAAAAATCTTTTTTATCCACGGTACTCTACGGTAGCCAATTTACAGGTTACGGATGTTAGAGTCAATTTTTCAGTGAATGCACCCCTGAGCATTTGTGAGCAATTCATAGACAAGAAGAAAACAATGGTAACTTTTTTTTATCAGATACTGTTATGCATAAGTATATTCAAAGCTGAATTTACACATAACTGGGCCCTATAGAAAGAAAACAAAATAAACTTGCGGTGAACACAAAAGTCGGCCAGCTTTTTCTTTTAGGTCTTTTCTTGAGTTATTATTTTGTTGACTCTAACATCCGTAACCTGTAAATTGGCTACCGTAGAGTACCGTGCATAAAAAAGATTTTTCCCTTTATATTGTTTTCATATCAGTCGTTTTCACTAAGTTACCTCGAACTCCAAATCATTTTCCCCTGCCGCGACATTGGACCCGAGACC